GGACATTCAAACTCATAAGTCGAAAATAAACTGACAACGCTATGGCAATAAAAGAAAAAGGCCAAAAGACAAACAACAGTATACAAAACACAACATAGCAAACTAAAGACTGAGCAACATGAACCCAATCAAATATCTGGGGTGATCTCAGGTGCTCCGGCAGGGTAAGCAGATTCTGCTCCACCTGTGGCACCCGTCGTGTTGCTCATATAAGTACAAACCTGGTGATTAGTCTTATTCGGTAGGTCATTAGTAGCTAAGAATACAAAGTAACTTAAGTGTTCCCCAGGACATCATGGTTATTCGATGCTATATTGATTTAACGTGTTGCTATCTGAAATTATTTTTTCTTATAAACTTTGTCATGAAAATGATGCTATATTTTTAGGAACAAGATGGCATTTCAAAAATCCCTGCTTGACAGGATTCTATACGGAGTAAAAACCAAGCAGTTTGATTGAGTCAGCATACATGAAAATATATATATCCATGGTATACTTCTGTGCAGGTGCTGGTAGATAAGCTTAAGATATATTGGGCAGTTGTTTAAAATTGGGACACGGAAAAGTTTAGAATATATATGTAAAAAAAATGCCTGAGAGAAAATTTTCTAAAATTCTGGAAACACCAAAAAGAGTCGGGCTCTGGTAAAATATCACATTTTATGGTTTAAAAAAAACAGCTTCCGACTATTGAAGCCAATTTAAGTATCTTGGATTTTAGACAGTGTGAATATTATAAATAAATTTAAATTAAGTGCCCACCAACTTCGTATACAAAACGGGTGCTGTGAAAAACTAAAATAAATTATCAATAAGGGCCCCTGAAAAGAGAAGATCGATTATGCACTCATTTGTACATTATATAAAGTTGAGGATGAATAACTTGTTCTGCTTAAATGTCCATTCTGTGCCAATTAACGTAAAAAATTAAAAAAACGACTTCTGAAATTGTTCAATTATGTCTATTTATTGTTAAACAATTAGGAAAAAATGTATTGAGTGTTCAATAATGAAGACAAAACCACTTTTATGTATACTTTTAAATTTTGTGCAAACTAATCTTTGGAATAAGAAAAAAAGACATACTATTTCTGTCAACATTTTGCCTAATGACATTACACAAAGGATTTAAACTGTACATAAACTTTTCGATATAATTATTCAAATATATCATGTGTCAGAACATAATTAACTTTTTGCAGAGACATATAAAATATGTATTAAATGTCTCTGCTTATTCATATCTCTATCTGGATCATTCTAACTTATTACATGTATGTATCTGTATGTCCCACAAGGGCTCCGAATTGGAAATAAGATAAGCCAAATTTTTAATGTTTTATTTTTATATGAAATTTGTGTGGAAAACTGTTATATCTAACTACAGTAAGATATTAGACAAGCAACGGTATTGTCAAACGTAGTGTAACACCTTGTTTAAAACTTTCCAACTTGTTAATGTCTATTTATTAAATGAAGTGTCAATTTGAAAACTATTGGCAATTGTTTGAATAACACTGAGGCTTTGAGGGGGGCAATATGAAGGCTTTGACAAATTCACAAGGATAACTGCTAGAATTTCATTTTCGCATTGAATCCAGTTACTAGTATTCGAACAGTCACAGATACAAGAGTAGTAGCACACAAATAACCAGACCTGAATTGTTAAAAAGCTAGGATTAGAGATACGTTGTATTTTGAAAATACTCAATGAATTATACTTATAACGTTATAGATTATCGGGTAAGTTATTTGACAATGCTAAACGGACTTTATTTTTTTTTTCTTTTCGCAAATAAACGAGGGTGAGGATGGGGTCAATCCTTTCTTTTTCTTTTATTTTTTTTTTACCATTTTTCCCTATTTTTTTATTTATTTTGCCCATTATTCTCTTTTATTTCTAATAAACACACCATTAATCTCTATTCTTTATTTTTTTGCCTATTTTTTCTCTACTCTTTATTTTTTTGCCTATTTTTTCTCTATTCTTTATTTTGTTTGCCATTAATTTTTAGAAATAAACTTATGGTTTTCCTGTTTGAATTGTTTTACACTAGTCATTTTGGGGCCCTTTATAGCTTGCTGTTCAGTGTGAGCCAAGGCTCCGTGTTGAATAAGGCCGTACTTTGACCCATAATTGTTAACTTTTTATAAATTGCGACTTGGATGGAGAGTTGTCTCATTGGCACTCATACCACATCTTCTTATTTATATTATGAAACTTATAAAGTCAATGTAAAACATGAAAATTTCAAACTACTTTTTTTTCTATGTTTTTCCTTAAATGTTTTTGATATCAAGTCAAACATATAACCATGATAAATTCTTCAATTTCTGAAAATTTCAGGTGGATAGCTGTTGTTGATTCAGAAATAAATGCCCCCCTTTTTCACAAAATTCCAAACAGCAATATCTCTAAAACGACAATAGATATCTAAAATCTGCTAATTGTAAGATCATCTGCAGATGAAGTGCAACACTGTCAAAAAATTGGAGCAATTCCGTAGTTCATTAAGGGCTCATTGAATAATTAAATATATGATGGAATACCAAACTTGAGAACCGAATGTCAAAAAAATGTTGAAAGAATAAAAAAAAAAAAAACCGACTTGTATCTCAATTGTTTGTAAAACGATTGAAATATCTTTCCTTAAAAGTCTGATATTTGTAATGCACCACCTGGAACTCTTGGGTTTATAGCTTCCTTGTGAGCAGCAACCCTCTATCAAGGAAATCAAGATAGGAAATATACAAGCCCGGGAATATCATATCAACTGGGAGATTTATATACTCCGTATATACAGGCGCTGCTGGAATGTTGCTACATAGAAATGGAAAGTTCAAAGTTGGGAAACTGAAATCATCTCTTTTTTGTCGTAAAGTTTTGTTTTCAGCCGATCATCATTGTCAATTTCTAGATGTAAGTTAGTCAAGATATAAGGCAGACTTAACTGTATCTGTTATAATTTGCCATTTATTCTGCACATTTTTGTCCTTTGTTATCTATTCTATAAATACCATCCAGACACTCACAAACGGAAAATGACGGGCATAAAAGGTTAGTGATCATATAAAAGAATAAGCCATATCGTTCAACGGTTTTATTTAAAAAATGCCACTTTTTTCAATATCATAAACACTGGAACTGTCAGGTCATTTTTATGATACATGTGTGCATCCCACTTTTGAAAGAAAACGGAACATGATTATTGTATGAGGTGAAGAAAAGCAAAAAAAAAAAAGGAATTACAAAATTTTTATGTATTCCGACATATATGAAGCAGAATTCATATAAAGCCACCTTAAAGACAAAAAGAAATAGCATCTTGCTAAAAGTTCTTTAACTTCAAGCCCAGATGTTTTATTGATGTTCTGTCAATCAATGGCTCACATTTCAGCGTGTGCTTCCATCTCATATGTCCCAGTAATCGACAGTACGTGTACAGTACTACCGAAATTACAAAATCTGCTTCATATCTATATATCTTTTTTTTAAAATTAACACGAATACACAACTTCAAACCAGAGACTTATATACACATCAAGTTTTCTTTGAGGCTAAATAATTTGTATTTTTATGATTTGACATTATACACGTCTTTCAACATATGTAAATATATTTAAAAATACACAAAATGTTCATAGTATATATCAACAGATGAAGTATTTACTGGAAAAAGTAAAATCTACGGAAACGTCGCTATGCGACGTCCACAAAAAGTCATCTTTTAAAAATGAGCAAATAAAATATGTTACAAGCATCCATTTCTTAAAAAATGAATACCAAGCATGGACTAATGTCAAATTGTTCTTAATGTTTGAAGAAATAAAACAAAACATCTGTAATTCGATTTTTAAGGATGTGAATATAAGCATGGATGCAATTTGGGTACTCGATCCTCATTACAGGATCATGGATCGTTTGGAGGTCGATTCAAACCTATTTTTCTATGATTCAATATGGATTCAAAATTAAATTGGTGTAACTATGTAGAAAAAAAGGATACATCTACAAAATAAACACAGAATTGAAACTTTTGTCTGTATCATAAATAAACGAAGGTGAAAAAACTGCCAAAATAGGTGCAATTTGGGCACCGTCACGCTGGGAACAGTATATAATTGTCGAAATCCGGATATGGTGTACAAATTTTTCACCTCATGTTTGCGGTATACCATCTTTTCCGCAAGTTTATTGTTTTCTGTTTGGTAATAAATTAATGATAAGATCTATTTTGTTACATCTTGTGATCCGTTTATTTGGCAATCGTCAATGGCAGTCAGCAGGGTTTAAGAACATCAGTTGTTCGACCTGCTTGTCAAATGCGTTTTGTTAAAATATACTTTCTCACTTTTTTGGTATTTTGGAAAATGTTGTTTGTGCTGTATTTAGACCCCTCTAACAAGAAATTTGTTTTGCATGCACATGTATACAAATTGCGGTTTTTATCCAACGCAATCATAGGTTTGAACGTTGTTTTCAATTTAGACTTATATATATAAGAACAATATATAATTATTAAGTACGTCCAGAGACATATAATACAATTGTATTATATGTCTCTGGTACGTCTGAACCAGTGACAACTCTGCGACAGATTTTTTCCATCGGATCACCAGTGATGGTGATACAAGGCTGAAAACACATTCTGTACACATAATTCGTCTAAATAACAGCCCAACAATGTTGGATCTGTAAATTTGCAGAAGCAAGTTTTTTTCTTCCCTTGCCGGGATTATATATCCTGCGTCACGTTATGTTTATTTATTTGTTTTAAATATTGAAAGTTTTTGAGCCGTTGCAATTGTTCTATTGTCATTTATATTGAGTTTTGAACATGTTTTCTAATGTAATTAAAGATATGTCGCACTTGCTTATCATAGCACACGCTTAAGTAAGTCGGCGTATTCCATTTTATATTAAACAGGTGCGACCATTGTAGTGACACAGTTTTTCCGCTTGATTGACTTTCATGCGTTACTTCCATTTCCGTTTTAGAATTATCACGTGGTACATAATACACAACTACGGCCATATTGGTTACTGCATTCGTGTTCAAGCTAATAAGAAAGTTAGAAAATAGCAAAGGTAAAGTTGCAGTGTACTGGTTTAGGCACACATGCATCCGTGGTACACATATTAACACCGAAATGAGGCATTTTTCACTCCGACAATGGCGTATTTTATTTGCAAATTCACATGAACGGTGACTGTCTGCTCAAATCGCGAGGATGGTAAAATGTGGAAAATGTTTCTTCATGTTGTAGTGTAGTTATTTTTAGAAACACGTATTACGGAACTTATTGTTAATTTCTCATATAATTACATATATTACATTGGACTTTTTGTCGACAACGCTCTGTAGACTAAGTTGCACCACATTTTTTTATTCTTAAGATACTCTCCCATACAAAAGTCAATATACATGCCATACTGTCAATTCGATCACCATATACAGTAAGCAGGGCAAACAAATCCCACATGTGATACAATACTAGCTATAAATTAGAAAGTCTCAAAGAAGTTGTCCTTAATCATCCTGAATTGCCACCATAATGACACAATTGAAATGTTTTTCAAGAAATGTGTCATAATTTGTCTAAAATTGAACACAGAAATGATACATGACACATCAATCTTTAAATTGCCAAGCCTTCAAACTTGTTCATTCTGTACATGATCTTCAAACTAGTGCTATCTCCCGGTAAAATTTGACCTCACAATGTGCCATGAGGTACCCCCCCCCCCCCCCCCCCCCGCAAATGACACCAGGGCAGTCCATTTATCAAATTGAAATTTCTAACTTATTAAAACAAACAAAGTACAGTGACAATAATTGTTAAGCAGTATGAATTACTAGGTTACTATTAGGACCTACACTTACTTACTTGCCTAAGCATGGATTTAAATTCAACCATGGAGGAACTTTCACCAGGACAAAACTGAGAGTGTCATGATCGAAAGTAATTCATTCCTCCATTTCATTGTAAGCAATAGTTAATAGACTGATCAGGGTTGTCATTTCAAGCAGAAAACTCTGTTATTCCTTGGTTATTGTTGTCACTGGCACCAACTTCTTTGAGATTATGAAGAATTATGTTAGAGCAGACTTTTTGCCTATTAAAATGATAAGTTTGTATTTGGACTGTACATGGAGGTGTGGAAATGCTATGCCTGACTCATACATTTGTCGATTTGAACAAGTAAATTTTTTTATCTAGGGTGCCAAGTAAAAAATAACACTTGATAAAATTCAATTTAATCCAAACTATAGAATTATTTTCACAGCTTATTAAGATGTATTACTTTATGTAAAAGATACTAATGATCAACACTTGAAAAACATTTATTTACGTCAAAACATCCATGTCCATGACGACAAGAATTAAAAAAACTTGAAATAGATCCATAACCACAATTTAAAAAAAACAAAACCCACATCTGGTACAAAATCATAAGCCTGTTATTTTCAAGGAGTTTTTCTTCCAAAGATTTTAGAATTGGTGATGTTTTTGTGCTTTATAATATGCAGTTGAATGTTTTTTCATATATTTGTAGGTTAAATAAAAATGGCAGATACATTGAACTTTGGTCCTGAGTGGTAAGTAACTTGTCATAATTTTCAGTTTTAAACATAAGTGGTGATGGACTATACATGGACTATATTCATATGATGAAGACATAATCTTTCAATCAGTTTAATTGAAGTCTGGAGCTGGCATGTCAGTTAACTGCTAGTAGTCTGTTGTTATTTATGTATTATTGTCATTTTGTTTATTTTCTTTGGTTACATCTTCTGACATCAGACTGGGACTTCTCTTGAACTGAATTTTAATGTGCGTATTGTTATGCGTTTACTTTTCTACATTGGCTAGAGGTATAGGGGGAGGGTTGAGATCTCATAAACATGTTTAACCCCGCCGCATTTTTGCGCCTGTCCCAAGTCAGGAGCCTCTAGCCTTTGTTAGTCTTGTATTATTTTTAATTTTAGTTTCTTGTGTACAATTTGGAGTTTAGTATGACGTTCATTATCACTGAACTAGTATATATATTTGTTTAGGGGCCAGCTGAAGGACGCCTCCGGGTGCGGGAATTTCTCGCTGCATTGAAGACCTGTTGGTGGCCTTCTGCTGTTGTCTGTTCTGTGGTCGGGTTGTTGTCTCTTTGACACATTCCCCATTTCCATTCTCAATTTTATTTCATGTATTAGCAGGAAATGACAAGCCAAAATCATTTTGGAAAGCTGTTTTTATAACAAATACATGTACTTTTAATAAAACCTTTTGATTAAAATAGACATGATACATGTAGCTAGGCAAAATTAATAAAATTCTCCTATTTTCTCTCTCTCCAGAAAACATAATTTGATAGTATGATTGTACATGTTTAATAAACTGGCCAATTTTAAGTGACCATATTGACAACAGATTGCAATTGCTACCTTTAATCTAAGCGTAGAACTATATGTTTAGCATGCATGTACATCAATGAGACAGCAACCCATTGACAAAAAAGATGTACATATAATGGTAGCATGGTATGGTGAAATACCAACTTTTATTAAGATAAGTAAACTTACATTTTTGGGCAAGTTTTGGTAGGAACAATGACATTTGAGGCCACCCTTAAGAAATTCTTTGTTTAATGTTGCCTACCTATGCCTTGTAGGGTTGGGTAATCAGGTACAGATTTTTTTTTGGCAAACAACGTAAGTTACATGTTTTAAACGAGAAAACGACATTAGAGCACAAACGAAATTTAAATAAAAAAAAATTGAAATAATTTGTGTCAAGATTTTTCAGTTTGCAAAATCAAACAATCTTCATATTATTTTTGGCCTTATGCTTGAAGGAATACAATAGCATACACTGTCCATATTATTGTTAGAAGCTTGTCTTTTGGTCAAGTTAAAAATAACTGTAAAGGGAAGACACACCATGAAAAATTGATCATGTATTGAAGATTTTTATGCCCCTGCAGTAGCGGAGGGGGCATTAAGTTTTACCCTTGTCCGTCTGTACGTCCAAAATTGGTTTCCGTTCTCTAACTTTAGTTTGCCTCAACCAAATGTTATGAAACTTATACACAATTCTAATTACCACAAAACACAGATCAAGTTCAAATTTTGGTGGCGTCACTTTTGCTGTTCTAGAGTTATGCCCCTCTACAAATGGAAAAATTGCTGAATTTTTCGTTTCCGTTCTCTAACTTTAGTTTGCCTCAACCAAATGTTATGAAACGTATACACAATGCTTATTACCACAAAACTCAGATCAAGTACAAATTTGGGGTAGCGTCACTTTTACAGTTCTTGAGTTATATCCCTTTATAACATTATATGCAAGTGGGGGCATCATCTGTGTCCCATGGACACTTTCCTCATTTATTTTTTTTTGGGGGGGGGGGGGGTGCATTTTGTGAAGTGTCCACTATTTAATATCTTACAGATATGCAATAGATGCAAATTAGGAGTTGTGGTATGATTGTCAATGAGATAACTATCGTCCAGAGTTCAAATAAAGAAGATATAAGGCTAGGGAAAACTAATTGTTGGATTCCCCATACATTGGAAAATTTTCAAGGCCCTGCAGGCAGGTTTTTTTGTTTATCAAATATTGTTGCTATAGACTGTGTAGAACAAATAGTTATCTGCTTGACAACTGGTATTAAACTTAGATGACTTTAACCCTTTCACCGATAGCTGCCCAGACAGAAGCTACTCTGAGACGATGGCTTCCCTGGCTACTATTACTCAAGTGGGAGATCTTCATAATAAATGTCAATAAAAACTTGTCTGTAGTTATTTGTGTCTTTATTTCATTCACCAACACCATGTTCACAGTTTTGTTCATGTTTTGATAATTTTTTCTTCATAAAATATTCAAATTTTCAAATTTTCGGCATTATCTAGGTGAAATTCTCAAAATTCTGCTCTTTGACCCAAAATCGTAATTTTTTAACCCAAAACGGCAAAATTTTGAAAAGTTTAATGAGGCTGTACAAATTCCTTACACTGAACGATGTCCATACCAAGTGTTTTGTACATTAAACAATATTTTATGTCAAAAAAGTATACTAGTTTGGCTTCAATTCTTCCATATTCTTTCAAAAAAATGTTCGCTCATTTCAAATTCTCGTAAATTCCGTAAATTTCCTCTGATTTTGACACGGTTTTCAACAAACGGAAGCGCCATGTTTACACTTTCATCCGGGTATTCAACAAAGAAAGATAACTCGTGTTTGCACTGTTTTGAGCGGGAAATATAAAAGAGGTATTGCGATCCCGGTAAAACGGGACTCATCGTCAGCTGTCTGAACCGTGAATCCCGGTAAACCGGGACTCATCGGCGAAAGGGTTAATAACATAAAGAGCTTGTGTCAATGTATTCAATCTTAATAAAATATTTCACATGGTGCCAAGGTAGCCATTTTGGGGGATATGAACAACAGGGGAGGGAAATGCTTTAAATCATTGTTATCTTTCTGATCAGTTAAGTGCTTCTGCAACCTAGAAACCAAGGCAGGAAAAAGTTACCTGGACATTGTTATTCTTCTTAACAACAAAACTGAAAGATATATGAAAAAATATTTAATAAAAATTGCTGGATTGGAACAAGACAGAGTTTTTTTTTTTCTTCGTTCAGTCCCTGGCCTAAGCAATAATAGGTGACAGTACAGCCTTAAACAATAAGAAAAACCCATACTGTATAGTGTACAAATTGTATAGTCATTTATAAAAGACCACAACATGAAAAATGTGAAACAATTTAAACAAGAAAACTAATGGCCTAATTGTTAATTTTAAACCTTTCCTTCATGCAGGCTCAGAGCCCTGTCAGATGGAAATAATGTTGGAACGCCGCCCCCTTCGCCAGGAATAGTTGGCAAGTACAAGCTAGCAGATTACCGTTATGGCAAAGAAGAAATGCTGGCACTCAACAATCCAAACCAAACAGAGCTTTCAGAGGAAGTAAAGAAATTTACATATATATACGTTGAAAAGGCACAGGAGCCAATCACCATGCAGTCTCTATCCGAAGAGGAACAGGTACATATTTTTAAAGTAGCATAATTTAAATTTCATAGCTTATTTGTATACGTTTTCATGGCTTTAGAAAAAAATGGAATTTTAGGATATTTAAGGTTTGAAAAGTTTATTTCACAATGTGACCAACACTCATCATATTTGGCTATGGCGTGTCTAAAGTTAAACAATATCATCGGAATAAGTCATTTAAATCTTATGATCAAAATAAAATCCGGTGAAGAATGATGATGAATGGACTTTTGTAGATAAAAATCTAGATTTATCTTTGAAGTCGCCATGGGCTCATATTTGTTAGAACCAGATTTGATTACAATTTCTATTCAAATTAGTAGTTTTTCTCTTGTTTGTTGCCGCAAATGTACATTGTATAATACTGTCACAGAAATAAAGGACACACTTTTACTTGGTATTTTAGTAGTTTTCTTCCCGAAATTTGAAGGGGAAAAATCCAGATATAATTCAAGTGGAAAACCCAGTTGTGACCAGTTTTACTTTGGAGAAAATATTTCAATTTTATACTTATATACTGGTGATTCATTGTTATACGTAGTATTACAGCCGATTTTAATGAGTGTGTAGCTAAAGGTAATATCTTTGGTTAGCTTGCTTGCTAGCTGAACCGTGAAGTCATTGTTAGGTAAAGTATACTTCCCTCTGTTCGAAGTAGCCTAGTCCTATAGACAGATAGATTGGTTACCAGTCGGACTAGCCTACTCTTAAAGGAGGATTGTTTAACCTAACCTAACAATGAATTCACGGTTCAGCTAGCAAGCAAGCTAACCAAATATATTACCTTTGCCTACACACTCATTGAAATCGGCTGTAATTTTTGTGGATTTTGTGGGTATACATTGTAGATAAACCATGATTATTTTATTTTCAAAAAGGTAAACGTTTTTGCATACAGACCTTGGCAAAGGCAAGAAATCAAATATCTACAAAGTATGATTTTTCCTGAGTCCATGAAAATTGGTACATGTATCCACAAAATAAATGAATCCATAGTAGCCAGTCTTCATGATTAGCCACAGGCCCAGCAGGCCAAGTGTGTAAAATTGCTTTCGGGCCTGTAAAAATCATCTCTACAGGCCAACAGAATCAGCTAAAATTTTCCATAAAATTAAGCTCCAGCTTGTTGATTTAAAATTTTATCGTGAAGACTGAGTAGCTGGCACATATTTCTGGTAACATTATTTTGTCACTTTTGTTTACTTCAGTTAGTAAAAAATTTTAACAAATTCAATAATTATGCTTCTTTCTTAAAGCCTTTTTTCTGAAATTAAGTTTATTTCTCCATTTTCAGCGGTTAATGTCTCAGTCTGTTAACAGCACAGCAGTACTTAGAATGTTTGGACGAGGGGGTCCTCCTGGAGTGAGGGGTGGAAGAGGTGGTATAGAGAGAGGCAGAGGGAGAGGTAACTTCTATATAATGAAATACTGAAACTCAGAAATTATTGCAATTTTCACATGACCAGCCATAATTTTGGATTAGTTATTGCGTTTTCAGGAAAAGTTTATCTCTAAATTATTAAATATGTTACAAATGAGCTATAATGCCATTGTTATTTGGATTGTTGTTAAGGTAAACATTATTACATTTTTCTCAAATGACGAAAACTGGAAATACTTTCAATGTATAGCATTTGTTGTCATGTGTGAAAGTCTTATTGATGGTGCATGTTATATTTGAATCACTTTTTAAAAAATTGCTATTTTATTAGAAATTGTTATAGGCTAAAGAACTTCTGGCTTTTTAGAATTTATTATTTGGATGAGAATTTTGTATTATTTTTAATGTCACAGAATGCAAGACATATATGTATGCTACATTGGAGAAAACATATGTCATTGGATGTCAGAGTTAGCTCTATTTATAAAGCTTCATATTTCAGAAAAAACATAAAGATTTTGTGATAAGGTCTATTTCTAGTACTTAATGTATCAGGTCAACTATTAGGGAGTTAAAATGAATGTAATATGAACCTTTCTATCATTGTCCTCATTTTAATAGATCATTGTTCATGTACTGTTTTTGTTTTACCTGTATTACCCTTAGAATTTCAATGCGAAATCAGGGTTCACACTAAGGCGAGTCCATGAGTCTTGGACTCATCATTTTCAAAACTTGTGAGTCCAAAGATGCATCAAAATTGTAAAATGTTGTATCAACTGAGCACATATGTCATCATTTTATAACAAAAGTTAAAAAATAATCTAACTTTGATGTCATTTCCTTGCTCTATTTTGTCATGGAGACTGAAATTATATCATATATCAATAAAATTTTATCTTCTCACTGCTGGACTCGCCATGTCCAAAATTGACGAGTCCCTGGACTCGCCTTCAAAAATCTTTAGTGAGAACCCTGGCGAAATTCAATACACTGGTGAGACATTTCAGCTTGTGCACTCTTGTTGATTTTTATCAATTATATATATATGTTTTAAGCTCTACAATTTTGTTGTTTATTTGTAGGTCGAGGACGAGGTGAAGGTGGTTTTCTACAGAGAGGTATGTCAGCAGAGGAGGGAGGGGGATTTGGCAGACCTCCTAGTCACTCAAGATCAGATGGTTGGGAAGAAGTGTAGGTCTTACTTTGATGCATGTTTCATTTTGCTCATAAAATATATACCTAGAAAAAAAACAATTAAAAATTTGCTGACTTTAAACCTCAACTTGAGGAATATTTTTTTTTTAATTTATTCAAGTCTCTGGACTAAAAATGCAATTTCTTTTTCCGGTTATATTATGGGACTCAAAATATCATTTTGGAATGGAGAATTTCCAAAGCAAAATGAGGCCCCTTTCTAAACTGAGATGTTTTTAGATGTGAAATTTTTTTTTCGTCAGTGTTAAATATTACCTTGTGCAGAGAGTAAACTCCCTTATATTGGAAGTCTCATTGAAAAAAGATTTTGATTTCCTCAAACATGAAAGGCCAATTAAAATTAATTGACAGATTTTCATCCCTGCCCACCCCTCTGAAATCGTCCCACCCCGATTTTTTTTTTTATTTTTAAAAATTACGATTTCCGGATTTTGTTCATTTGCGTTACCGGTAAGTGTCGATAATTTCGTTTCATTCAAATCTTCCTGTTTCAAATTTCGGTTTTTGTATTTCTTCGAGTGATATAAGTCTGGGACTATTATACTAACTATATAGTATAATAGTCCCAGTATAAGTCGACATATTCTTCTGCTCAATGATAACAACATTATCTTCTGAGAATATAGATTGATTGCTAGAAGGGCATGACATATTAGGGTTACGAGCAAGAATGCTAATCGCGGTATGTCACAAATTTCAGTGATTAGAAAACCGTTGATTTTTTTATTTATATAATAACTTTGTGTCAAGAAATTTGAACTGTGAATGATATCCAAAGAGCAAGAATTGTTGAACACATTGGTACAAAAACATGACTGGAATAAAGTAATTGACACAAGCACGAACTTGTGCGATTTATGACCGTATATTGAGTACAAAGAGTTGGCCAACATACAAAATGTATTATAGCAAGCCCTTAGATTTACCCCAAGGCTGTTGTTTTTGTTGACAAACAGTAAACACCCTCTGTCCCAGTCCCCTCAATAGAGAATTAAACAACTTCTTTTTGGTTAAGTTCATGTTTTACATTGTGATTTTATTTGTACCTTGCATAAGAATCTGAAAAGCATCAACCCTAGTATTTTCAACACAGTTTGAGTTTTTATTTCACTCTGTACTCATAATATTTGTGTTGCATACCAATGTATATGCTTCATTTTATGGGCACTATATTTCATAGCTTAGAAAGCAAAATGAATTTGATCTAGGTAATCTAAAAGAGAACATTTCTACACTTTTTTGCTATTTACTAAAAATAGGTTTCTAAAGCGGCATGCAATTACATGTAGAACAGTGGTCGCCAATCAGAAATATTTAAGAATTTGAAAAATAATGTAGAATTCCTTATATATAAATTATATAAGCTTTTGATTACCCTTGTATATGAACAACACGTCACAAAAGGGTTTAGGAGGAAATAAAAATTAAAAAATAAAATCCACCCACCCACCCCATTTTTTTTCGAAAATCTGGATGAAAATCTAATTTTAGTTGGCCTAAAATGAAAGCAATGAACAAAATAGAGAAAGTTCACTTGATTTAAGAAGAATTAGCTAATTTGATGTAATGAACCAAGTGTTAAACAAACTAGCTGATTTTTGTGAGGTTTATTTTTTATGAACACAATCCAAAAGAATGAATCAATTACAAGGAAATTTAATTGAATTTTTATGCCCCCACCGTCACCAGAGGGGGCATTATGTGTTACCCTTGTCTGTTCGTACATACATCCAAAAATTGGTTTCCGTTCTTTAACTTTAGGTTTGCCTCAGTCAAATGTTATGAAACTTATAAACTTTGCTTATTACCACAATAACAGATCAAGTTCGAATTTGGGTGGCGTCACTTTTACCGTTCTCGAGTTATGTCCAATGACACATTCTCCATTTATTTAACTGTGTGAAATTTAACTCGTAAGAATCAATATTTTGTTTCCTTAATGTAAAAAAAAAACAGCAAATATATATATATACTGATGTTTTATTTTAACACAATATATGCATTTATAAGTATATTTTTGCAGAGGTGCAAAGAGAAACTACCAGACACGGTTTGATGAAGCAGGAGGACCACAGAGACAGTTTCACAGATCATTAAGTAACGAAAATTGGAGGGACCGGGGTGGGGAGGATGAGGATGATGATGGTGACTGGAGAAAAGCAGGGTCTAAATGGAGTAAGTAAAATAAATTGGTGGACCGTTACCCTAATTCAGTTAAAATTCCCTTTTATTTTGATTTTTCAAAGTGAAAATTATTGTAAGTATGGCAGTTTAATTGAAATTTCACTTGTTTGGTTAAAATGCACATTTAAATTATCAAAAATCACACTGTTTTGTATAGTCCACCAGCTTCATGAAGAGTGATAGAGTAAATGCTGGTAAAATAAAGGTATTTGCTGGATATTTGTAATTATATATAGGAGTTTGGAAAATTTTTTATTGAGGAAATTTTTTACAAGGGAAAAACAAACTTCAAACAAAGTATCATATTCATTGTTTATTGATATTGATAAAGGGAAGTAAAAACATGTCCGGATTATTTTTAAAAAATGAGCACTTGACTGTTTTTGAGTGTTGAAGTGTAATGTGATAGTTAAACTAGAAAATGAATCAGAATTTCAATTTTAATCTTATATTATATGTTTCCTATTGACTTGCAAAAAATTTAAAAAAATCGAAATTTAACATAAATCATCATATCAATTATCTTGAAATTAGAATTTTTCCTTATTCCATCAAAATTGGTACCCGTGAATAAACATATATACATTCTATCAGTGTATTGAGTGTGAAACAATATTTTACCTCTCTTTTAAGTTAAATTTTACAGTAGTGAGTGGTCATATATGGTATCAATAAGATACATAACTTGATTCTGATTCTGCAATGAGTTTTAAAAACATGTAGGCAAACTCTATCTTTTTTCAGTGATCTGCAAAAATTGTGTTCTTTCTATATGACTATATTAGGCATTGTAGCCTTTTTTCGTGACCTCACAATAGCAAAATCAGACAAAATCTAGGAAACATTATTTGACCAATAAAGTACTGAAATCAATGGAACCACAAGTTAAAAGTACTGAAATCAATGGAACCACAAGTTTAAAGTACTGAAATCAGTGGAACCACAAGTTTAAAGTACTGAAATGAATGGAACCACAAGTTTAAAGTGCTGAAGTCAATGTTTAATCACAAGTTTAAAGTACCGAAATCAATGGAACCACAAGTTTAAAGTACTGAAATCAATGTATAATTACAAGTTTAAAGTACCGAAATCAATGGAACCACAAGTTTAAAGTACTGAAATCAATGGAACCACAAGTTTAAAGTACTGAAATCAATGGAACCACAAGTTTAAAGTACTGAAATCAGTGGAACCACAAGTTTAAAGTACTGAATTCAATGGAACCACAAGTTTAAAGTACTGAAATAAATGTTTAATCACAAGTTTAAAGTACTGAAATCAATGGAACCACAAGTTTAAAGTACTGAAATCAATGGAACCACAAGTTTAAAGTACTGAAATCAATGGGACCACAATTTCATTATAAAAAAAAAATGAAAGAATAATTCATAAAAGTATTAAAGAAAAATGAATCCACAGTAGATTTTTTAATTTATTTACAGATACAAGAGGTAATTGGAGAGAACCAATCAACCGAGGAGAAAGGGGAGGGTTTGATGATAGACAGCAGCCAAATGGTATACCGAGGGCAGGCTTTGATAAAGGAAGACAATACCAAAGAAATCGTATCAGTGAATCATGGGATGAAGATGGTAAATTACATTGGAAATTGAAATGAAAATGTTTAGGACTGTTCCAAAATTAATTGAGTGGGGATAGATGGGAGGTACTCAAATTAATTAGATATGGGTGATTACATTTTCCTCAGAATTTTAAGTAAAATGTCAATTTTATTTTATAGGTGGTAAGGTCTTAAAAAAGTGCCTCCCATGCCCCCCTCCCTCATATGTTATGGCATAAAGTGCTAGGCCAGCTGTTTATAACTAATCTGAACTTGACATTCAAAGTTGATTATTATGGACAATATTTCATCCTCCCCCAACCCAAAGAAATGAAAGATGGAATATTTTATGTTAAAATAATGTAAAATTTGAACTAAACTGCAAAGTTTCTTTTTTATAAATAGTTGACTAAATGTGTATTATGGCTTTATTCAAGTACAGTAACTCAAGTGAGACACACAAGTGTAGTAAGTGTCATCATTATTTGTATTGTGAAGTAAATACTCCTCAATGTAAAAAAGGAAGATGTGTTATAATTTCCTATGAGGCAACTATCCACTAAAAGACCAAAGGACAATGTCAACAACTACAGCTCATCTAACAACCTTAAACAATGGGCACTGTTTTACTTTTTGTAACATCTCAGCTGTATTGCATTTATAAGAAAATTTGTTTAAATTGAAATTCAGAAGTGTTATGCAAAATAATGCCCTTAATATAAAAATGGGGAGATGTGGTGTGATTGCCAATGACACAACTATCAACCAGTGTTAAAACAACGTGGTAGTAAGTAATTATAGGCCATGTATGGCCTTCAACAATGAGAATTACTCATGCCGTATTGTGGGCTATGCAGTATATTTCTTGCATAGTGTTCTTTAAAAGCATACTGAAGTTAATTCTGGAGCCCTATCGTACCCTTTGAAAAATTACAGCTCTTTTCATAATGCTAGCAAGACAAAGGTTTGTTTGGCTTGCTTGCTTTGTTTGTATCAATGTTTGCTCAAGTATTGTAATTAAGATTGACATCTGCAAACAATATAAGTAGGCGGTGTTAAAACTGTGTAAAGGTAAATTTGATTATTTGATAATGTCCAATCAAATTTAAATATAATGTATACAAGTTTAAATCCACCTTTTTATGTTGTTTTCATATGTCAATCTTAATTACAATGCTTGAGCAAACATTAATACAAACAAAGCAAGCAAGCCAAACAAACCTTTGCCTTGATGGCATAATGAAAAGAGCTGTAATCAAAATTTCTATTTTTAGATAACATGCCAGAATGGAGTATGCCTGACACTGAAGGAGATGATGTAGGAACATTTGATTCAAGTGGTGCTTTTGTATCTACAAAGGTATGTGTAATGTTTTGACCAAAAATTAGATTGGTTGATTGATTGTTGGTTGCTTAACATCCAGTGGCAAATATTTCATGCTGCCAAAAATCAGTATTAATTAATATATAAATAAGGAGATTTGGTATGATTGTCAGTTAGACAACTATCTACCAGAGTTCAAATGACATTGATATAAGCAATTATAGGCCACTATATGGCCTTCAACAATGAGAAAAACCCATACCGTAAGGTCGGCTGTAAAAGGTCCTGACATGAAAAATATGAAACAGATCAAAAACTTACTTCAAATTTATAACTACAAGAAGCTAAAAACAAATATGACAGACATGAACCTACTTCTACCACTGGAATACAGGCTTCTGACTTGGGACAGGCAATTATAGAATGTGGCATACTTCTACCACTGGAATACAGGCTTCTGACTTGGGACAGGCACTTATAGAATGTGGCATACTTCTACCACTGGAATACAGGCTTCTGACTTGGGACATGAACTTATAGGATGTGGCATACTTCTACCACTGGAATACAGGCTTCTGACTTGGGACAGGCACTTATAGAATATGTCATACTTCTACCACTGGAATACAGGCTTCTGACTTGGGACAGGCACTTATAGAATGTGGCATACTTCTACCACTGGAATACAGGCTTCTAACTTGGGACAGGCACTTATAGAATGTGGCATACTTCTACCACTGGAATACAGGCTCCTGACTTGGGACAGGCACTTATAGAATGTGGCATAACATACTGCCATGACATGCATTACTTAACATTAATGTTCAAAGGTATATGCAGAGACAAGACAGTATTGTAAATAAAGAGTTATGCAACTATTTTTCCATGAATCAAACAAGATTGACAAATTTTTTATTAATACTTGCACCCTACAATAAGTTCACAACAGAAAATATGTAGAAAAAACTTAATGGAACCACTAAATAAATTGAAACAAAAGAAGAGACAGGTTTATCTTAAAAGTTTTAGAGTTGTTACTTTTAAAAGTCCAGATTTGCCCAGTTTCTGTATCTCTGTGTATAACTTTTGTTCACAGTATGGGCCTTTAAAAGATGGAACATTAAAATCCTCAATATGTTTATTTATATTCTTGTACAAAACAACTATATGAACAGTGAAATGATCGCGTTTGGGAAATTTTGCAACTAAAGCTGACTGTATAATAGCAAAATTAGACACACATAAAAAAATTTAAAGATGTATGATATATTAATGGTTTTACAATAGAATTTCTTATTTTTTTTTTGAAGAAAAAAATATTACCCTGTAAACATGTACCATTTTAAACCACATATTGTAAATTCTTTTATTATCCTGGATACCTTTTTTGTCGAGCCTGCGACTTTTGTCGCAAAAGCGAGACACAGCGATCCTACATTCTGTCGTTGTCGGCTGCTTCTACAAATATTCACTCAGTGGTTAAAGTTTTTGAAATTTTAATAACTTTCTTAAACTATCCTGGATTTCTACCAAACTTGGACAGAAGCTTGTTTAAGATCATAAGATAGTATCTAGAAGTAAATTTTGTAAAAAAAAATTCCTGTTTATCCGTATTTTACTTATAAATGGACTTAGTTTTTCTGCCAGTTAACATTTCATTCACTCTGTGGTTAAAAGTTTTAAAAATTTTAATAACTTTCTTAAACTATCCTGGATTTGTACCAAACTTAGACAGAAGCTTGTTTATGATTAAAAGCTAGTATCTAGAAGGAAATTTTGTAAATATTTATTTCCTGTTTTTCCATATATTACTTATAAATGGACTTAGTTTTTCTTCCAGTTAACATTACATACAGTCTGCAGTTAAAGTTTTTAAAACATTTATTAGATTCATAAACCATCCTGGATTTTTACCAAACTTGGACAGAAGCAATGTAAAAATTATCTTCTTTATCATTTGTTCATTCAATAAATTTATGTTTCAACTCTTTTATAAATCTATAGATTTGATTGCATACTGTATTCATTTTTTACAAGCATAACTTTTTTCATACATTTCAAACGTTTTATTAGTCCCCTACCGTCGAAGTGGACTATAGGTTTGAACTCCGTCCGTCCGTCCATCTGTCTGTCTGTCCATCCGTCAGTCCGACAAATCAGTTTTCCACACTTTTTTTCTTCATGCTTGAAGATATTGATTTGGTATTTGGGGTTTTGTTTTATCATGACAGGTTACAGATCAAGTTCGAATTTTGTTCTGGTCTGATGATTTTGTGCGGAGTTATGGGCCTTTGACTCAGAAAATTCACTAAAATAATCAGTTTTCCCCACTTTTGTTTTGTCATTCTTGAAGATATTAATATGATAATTGGTATATAGTTTTATCATGACAAGTTACAGTTTGAGTTTGTTTTTTGGTCCAGTCTGATGATTTTGTGCAGAGTTATGGTCCTTAGACTTAGAAAATTCACTCAAATAATCAGTTTTTCACTTTTTTTTGTCATGCTTGAAGATATTGACTTGATATTTGTTATATATACACCATGACAAGTTATAGATCAAGTTAGAATTTTGTTCCAATATAATGAATTTTCAAGCGGTTGGGGACTATGTATTGCCATGCAATACTCACAGAATGCTTGTTTCATTAACTGTAAATCTATTATTTGCATTCCGCTATCACACTGAAAACATAGACAACAGCAAAATCAGGCAAGACAGAACCCATACAAATTTTTTTTGTGGATTGAGGAAAATGTGTATTTACATGGATATTTGATTTTATGGTTTTGTCAAAGTCAGCATACAACCTCATCAAAAAAATTATAATTCGTTGAACATTATAATTCGTGGTTCACCTGTACTCACAAAATCCATGGAAATTGGTATCCAACGAATAATAATGAATCCACAGTATTTAGTAAAGATCCTATGTTGTTTGCTTAAGGTGGTACCAAACACCTTGACTAAAATTAATTTGGCTCGTTTAATTTTCATAAAATTTTGACATAATATTTTACTTTGACCCTTTGAAAAAAATATAAAAATTTCAAAAAATTTGAACCACACACTTTATAGAAAAAATTTCATTGGATATATAGCAGTTTGACAAACACTTAGTTTTGTTGAGCCTGCGACTTTTGTCGCAGAAAGCTCGACAGGGATAGTGATCCGGCGGCGGCGTTAGCTAACTTATTAAAAGCTTTATATTTTAGAAGGTGGAAGGTCTGGATGCTTCATACTTTGTATATGGATGCCTCATGTTACGAAGTTTCCGTCAGTCACATGTCCAATGTCCTTGACCTCATTTTCATGGTTCAGTGACTACTGGAAAAAAAAGTTAAGATTTTTTGTAATGTTAAATTCTCTCTTATTATAAGTAATAGGATAACTATATTTGGTATGTGTGTACCTTGCAAGGTCCTCATGCCCGTCGGACAGTTTTCACTTGACCTCAACCTCATTTCATGGATCAGTGAACAAGGTTAAGTTTTGGTGGTCAAGTCCATATCTCAGATACTATAAGCAATAGGTCTAGTATATTCGGTGTATGGAAGGACTGTAAGGTGTACATGTCCAACTGGCAGGTGTCATCTGACCTTGACCTCATTTTCATGGTTCAGTGGTTATAGTTAAGTTTTTGTGTTTTGGTCTGTTTTTTTTATACTGTATGCAATAGGTCTACTATATTTGGTGTATGGAATGATTGTAAGGTGTACATGTCTAGCTGGCAGGTGTCTTCTGACCTTGACCTCATTTTCATGGTTCAGTGGTCAAAGTTAAGTTTTTGAGTTTTGATCTTTTTTTCTAATACTATATGCAATAGGTCAACTATATTTGATGTATGGAAATATTTTATGATCTATATGTCAGTCACGCAGGTTTTATTTGACCTTGACCTCATTTTCAAGGTTCATTGCTCAGTGTTAAGTTTTTGTGTTTTTGTCTGTTTTTCTTAAACTATAAGCAATAGGTCAACTATATTTGTTGTATGGAAAAATTGTTAGCTGTACATGCCTGCCTAGCATGGTTCATCTGACCTTGACCTTATTTTCATGGTTCATTGGTCAATGTTTAGTTTACTTGGTTAATGTACAGTTTATGTGACAGTTGTAATAAAGCTTTATATTTAGGACTATCAACATAATATCAATGATTAGTAAAGAAGGCGAGACATTTCAGCGTGTGCACTCTTGTGATCATTGAGAAGCTTAAGATTTCCTTTACAATAGAACGTGATTAAAACGCTCAGCTGATTTTTACAGAGTTATCTCCCTGTAGTGTTATGTACCATCTTAAACACTATTCCTTTGCCATTATTTCATGTTGACTTGCATTAACATTACAGATTTTAAAAATATTATTTTTTTTTTTCATGAACTGATAAAATCATTTTAAACAAAACATGCCTAAAAAGTTGGGTGATGTAATCCTTCATGATTAATGCAGTTTGATTATTTGAAAGGCTTGAAATGATAGGCAGAAATTAAGGTGTGGCATATGTTAAAAATGAAGAAAAGTTCTTCTTCACATTTTCTTGCATGGATTGGATAACAATCTGTAGATTGGTAAATACTAATTTTTTAAATATTTTATTCTATTTCTTTATGCAAATTGTTTTGTAATAAACTTTCTTACAAAAGTTTTTGATTAACATTATTTGTTTGTTGCAGAAAAAACCTGGTGAAAATCATGAAAGGAAAGAACCCCATACAGAAACCAGTGAAAAGAAAGACAATGTTAAAAATAAAACACCTGACAAACAGAAAGTAGAGACAAAAGAAATGGACAAAGTGAAAAGACCTCCACCAAATCTTGAAAACAGACAAAATAAAAGTGAAAATGCTTCTAAAAGAAAATTGGAACCCAGTGAAATGAAGACAGTGACTTCAGAACCGTCAGGTCAAAGTTCAAAACCTGTAAATAGTAGTCGGAAGGAAAATAATAATGAGGTGAAAGTGTCTAAGGAAAATAATAGTGCTCAAAATGATTTTTCAAAGAGTGAAGCGACGGTGAAAAACGAAGAGACTAATGTAAGTTTGAAGAAGGAAAAAGTCGAGGCAGAGACATTAGCCCGGCTGCAGGCAGCTGCCGAAAATGTGGTGTTGTCAGCCATGACGGCAGAGGTACAAATAGGTTACTTCTCTTTTTTGCAGAGTTATTTTCCTTATGCAGGATGTCTGAAATTACAATGTATATGAAATTTTTTTACAAATTTTAAAATAATCCGAAAAATACAAATTGAATTCTGATACATTTACACAAGAGAGAGAGAACTTTTGGGAAATTGAGTTTTAAAACAATGTAGCATTTAAGCTGTACTGTATTAGGAATATCTGTTGTAAGAGGAAATATATAGCAAAACAGGGAAGTAACCACTTAATCTTCTGTTTGTTGTGTGAGTTATCTACTCTTAGGCTGTTCTATTTAACATTTCCTGAATCTGTAAATGTTAGGGCTGTTCCATTAAAACGTACATGGAACCCAGGGAAGGCACTTTAACTATTGGTTGGTGCAAAAATATCTTTGTCCAGCAAAAATGTTGGTGAAATTCTACAATTTTCTCTAGGTGCTTAGACACTTTCAAAGTGCCTTTCATAAGTCTATGGGTACCATGAAGGTTTAAATGGAACAGTCCTTTGAAATTTTGACTTGGTATATTGAAGTTAACTGCACTTTAAAATTTTGTAGCTGACTATAGACAATGATAGGAATACGTACATGTAGCTGCCTTCATTTTATGAGTAAAACAGTCCTAATGTAAAATTAAAGCTGTTCATCTACCCAAATGAGGAGTAAGTTCAAAATGTAACACATGCTGCAGGCAACAATATCATCCTAAGCCTTACAGTCATAGACACTAAATTTTACAAAAAATATGAGTCGTGTTCATGATGTTAGTTCTTGGACTGAAATTTTTATTTCAAAGAAGCAAAATGTCTACCATGTAGTGAAGAAGATTAATAAAGAAACTAAAGAAGGCTAGTGGCCAAAACGTCTGAAAAAATGGTTTATTCACTACAATAAATCAAATATGACTTAAATATTTTTTTAAATATTTTATAAATTGTTAATCTGACGACAGTCAAGTAGTTTTTCCTCCTCTCTGTCCGTTATTTGTAGTAAGATGATGTTGATGTGTGAATCTACATGATGTTGCAATTTTTACCATATTCATTGAGCAAGTTAATGATCTGTTCGTCCATATAGTGGACCAAATGTGATTCAGTATCTTGTGAGATATCGTATTAAAGACCTAGTAGAGTTGATAGAGGATTTCCCACTATTGATTATATAAAGAAATAATTTAATTTTGGATGTAACACGTCTTCCAATTGGCTGACGTTGTTTTGTTTATCAGCACATAGACATAATTTTGTCATGTGACCTTGACGTCATCAACGTTTTTTCATGATTTACTCTGGTTTAAAATGGAATTAAGAATTAAATTATAAGAAATGACTGTAATATTTTTTCTGTCTATTCGAAATAACATAAAAAATGAGGTGCACACTTTAAAATAACCCGCTATGCGGGTTATTCAGTGTGCACCACATTTTTGATGTTATTTCTTCATAGACAGAAAAAATATTACAGTCATTCCTTAAATAGTCTTTCCAATTCGTACAATGGTCGCAATTTCAACCAAGTTTTAACATTCATGACATTTGATAAAAATATAGTTGTATTTAAACTTTGCCATGTAGTATCACGTCTAAATGACTAATTTTGTGTGAACTTGTGTTGGTGGGTGACTGTCTCATCGACATTTACCCACATGTCCTTTTGTCTATATTTAGGATGATGAGAAAGAGAAAATGGTTCCTCGACCAGCCAAAGATTCAACAGCATTACCTTCAGATCATGAAGATGCACTTAAATGGTTTTATAAAGATCCTCAGGGAGATATGCAAGGTATTGTTTTCTTCTGAAAATTCTAAATGCAGCACCATAATCGGCTGTGTACAATACGCATTGATACATTGTCAGCACACACTATTCTTTATGGGAATTCAGGGGAGAAAATTTTTTTTCACTTATTGTCACTTGTTGAAAACGTCGGGGAAAAATCAAGTTATTTCATATTGTGTGTTATAGTTTGCCGTATTTTCATGTGGAATCATGAATTCCCTCATCAAGTAGAAGTTAAAAATATTTGTAAATGATTCTAGAACACTTCACAAGTGAAGATAAGCCAAAAACCCAACAGAAAAAATTATAGGTAGAACTACTGGACTGTCAGATAAAATCGGGCTATTTTACCATGTCTATGAGAGTTCCTCTCAAAGGGTCTTTAGATAACCTGTTTTAAGTCAAAAGTTATTGCCCCCTACTATTATATCACATAGAAAAAGTTTGATTTTGAGGGGAAAATAAATGCCCTCTTTTATACTGTGGGTTCAACTATTTTTGCAAAGTGAGGAAAAATGGTATTTTTCTTGGATATCTGATTTCAAGGATTTGCCAAAGTCTATACAAGCCTATTGAAAATGTGTGCTTTGTTGATCGTTTAGATTTCAGGTTTTTCTATACCAATGAAATCCATGAAAAATTGGTTTCCGATGAATAATTAGGAATCCATATTTATACTATTTTTAGGATATAAAAATATTGACAAATTTGTTGATATTTCTTAAGAAATTTTTAGGACTCCTTAATACATGTAATAAGCTTTTGAAAATTGAAAATTGAAGATTGTATGTGATATTTCCTATTTCTAGGTCCTTTTACACCAAATGAAATGGCTGAATGGTTTAGTGCTGGATATTTTACCATGAATTTACAAGTGAAAAGAGGCATTGATGAAAAAATATCTCCTTTAGGTAAATATGAAAATGAAAAGATGCAAGATTAGTGACTATGGTACAATTTGATTTAAAAAAAAAACATAAAATTTTAAAAAGTGTGAAAAAATAGAGTCTACAAGAGTAAATCACCTTTTTGCGGTCGTAAATTGGTATGACGTTGGCGTCGTCGTCGTCGTCGTCGTCCAAAGACACATTGGTTTTCGCACTCTTACTTTAGTTTAAGTGAATGGATCTCTATGAAATTTTACCATTAGGTTCAATACCACAAAAGGAAGGTTGGGATTGATTTTGGAGGTTATGGTACCAACAGTTAAGGCATTAGGGGCCAAAAATAAGCATTTTTGTAACTTCCAGACATAACTTGTGTGTTAGTGTATGGATCTCTCTGACATTGTACCATAAGGTTCCATATCACAAAGGGAATGCTGGGATTGATTTTGGGGGTAACTGCCTCCAAATTTAAGGAATTAGGGGCCAAAATAGGGGCAAAAAACAAGCATTTTTCAAGTTTCATGACAATAACTTGTGTGTAAGTGTATGGATCCATCTGAAATTGTACTACAAGGTTCTATATGACAAAGGGAAAGCTGGAATTGAGTTTGGGGGTAATTGCCCAAAACGTTTAGGAATTTGGGGCCAAAAAGGGGTCAAAAATAAGCAATTTTCTAGTTTCCAGACAATAACTTGTGTTCAAGTGTATGGATCTCTCTGAAATTGTACTGCAAGGTACCATACCACAAAGGGAAGGCTGGGATTGATTTTGGGGGTATTTGCCTCAAAATTTTAGGAATTAGGGGTCAAAAAGGGGCAAAAAAAAACAAGCATTTTTCTAGTTTCAGGACAATAACTTGTGTGTATTAAAGTGTATGGATCTTTCTGAAATTGTACTACAAGGTTCTATATCACAAAGGGAAAGCTGGAATTGAGTTTGGGGGTAATTTCCCAAAACGTTAAGAAATATGGGGCCAAAAATAAGCATTTTTCTAGTTTCCAGACAATAACTTGTGTTCAAGTGTATGGATCTCTCTGAAATTGTACTGCAAGGTACCATATCTTAAAGGGAAGGCTGGGATTGATTTTGGGTGTAATTGCCTCAAAATTTTAGGAATTAGGGGCCAAAAAGGGGCAAAAAAACAAGCATTTTTCTAGTTTCAGGACAATAACTTGTGTGTAAATATATGGATCTTTATGAAATTGTACTACAAGGTTTCATATCACAAAGGGAAAGCTGGGTTTGAGTTTGAGGTAATTGCCCTAAATGTTTAGGAATTTGGGGCCAAAAAGGGGCCAAAAAACAAGCATTTTTCTAGTTTCCAGACAATAACTTGTGTTCAAGTGTATGGATCTCTCTGAAATTGTACTGCAAGGTACCATACCACAAAGGGAAGGCTGGGATTGATTTTGGGGGTGATGAATCATAAGGGGGTTCAAATATTTGGGGGGGATTTTTTTTTCCTTTTTTTTTTTAAATTTTCCATTTTAAATTGGTTATTTCTGATTTATATATAAAAGCAAATAATAAGGATATGGTTTGAATAGGTAAATTAAGAATTTTTAAGTTCTTAGACCACATTCATTCTGTGTCAGAAACCTATGCTGTGTCAAATATTTAATCACAATCCAAATTCAGTGCTGTATCAAGCTTGAATGTTGTGTCCATACTTGCCCCAACTGTTCAGGGTTCAACCTCTGCGGTCGTATCAAGCTGTGCCCAGTGGAGCATTTTATTTAACTCCAAATTGCACAATTTGTCTCTTGCGAGTGAAAAACATATTTATATGTGTCGCACCCTAATGGTACTCTGGAGATGTCAATATATTGAACAAAGAACCAATTATTTCCCCCTTTACTTCAATGCAATTTTATCATAATTGAAAGGCAGATTTTTATTCCCTATATTAGACTGCCAAATTTCAATTACTTTCTTATACTAGTAGACCCCTTCATGGTTTCTTGGAGAATTCTTAGAGGACCATGACCGGCATTTAAGAGAGAAATACTGTTTTGAGTATTAACAGGGTCATTTTAATAACTTCCTGGTTAAAATGAAATATAAAATTTGGACCATTTACAATCATCCACCCTATACATTTCAGAATTATTTTAGACTTAACAGAAATTGAAAGTTTAATGAATACCCTTTGGATATACTATAAATTTAAGCATCTTTACATTTTTTTCCTCTTCATTCTTGCGTACTGGACTGGGATCATATTCCATATTATTTCTTGTATTTTAAATATTTTGTATGAAGTGCTCCATACTTAAAAAATTGTTAAGTGACATAAATCCTTGCAGCCCTTTGAATTTAATTGATGGTAGAAGATGCATTCTTAAATTTAGTTATATGAGACTGTTTGAAATTTTAGACTGATAATTAATAATTAAATCGAATTTTGTTTATTCTTATTTCTTATATTATAGGAGAACTAATAAAAAGTTGGGGTAGAGTTCCATTTTTACCTGGTCCATCACCTCCACCAGCTTTAGTAAGTATTCACCATTAACTTGCATTACGACATATTTACAAAATGTACTTGAGCATGTTCAAAGATAAAGTCAAGTTTGCACTACTTTGATCAAAGAACAATAAAGTCAAGTTGGTTTCTACTTGTATGCTTGATGTACAGTGTACTAGCTAGAATTTAAGGATAGAGGGGCACAAGTTAAAGATTATATGGGTACACTAGTCCTATTTTGAATACAAGTTTACAGAATTTCACCAAACTTGCTCAAACTCATCTTCAAGACATAATATAATATTGTGCACCTGCTATTTTAATTCTTAATCCAAATGAATTTTGGGCTTTCCAGTAAGAAAACAAGGATTTACCCATTTCTGACTAAATTATTAGACCTACAACACTCCTACCTTCCTTTGGGGACTAATATTTTTTTTATCATCACATTTTGATAATTTTTTAATGTGTAATTTTGTATTGTTATTTCAGAATACCCCAACAAGTCTGGCTACGACAGATCAACAAGAACAGATGAAAGCCTTACAGCAGATGCTTGTCCAACAACAAATGATGCAGCAACAGTTTTTAATGAGGTAAGGACATCTGTCTATTTATAGATCTATGTTTATTTTAGTTTACTGAAAATATATACTGTGGATTTTCATTTATTTTTTATGTTTGTTCAAGATTTTTCAATTAAGGGGGTAGAAAAAAAATTTCACTCTCAATTTTCATGTTTAATAAATGCTCTTCATTTTCCTATTTTATTTGGTCTTTTCACTTTTTGGAAAGATTGGAACTTTTGTTCAAAGCCTTTCCTAAGGCACCAGCCTCTCAAACATATAGTAGCACAGGTTAGCTACTAATTCTACAAAATGTATACACACCGAAATATAGTTCCCTGTAATTCTCATTTCTATGTACATGTGCACATATGAACTGTGAAACATTTTTGTTATATTTCTAAAGCTGTTCATTCAAGTATGTGTGTCTTTAGTTTTGTCAATTTACAGGCTAGTTTTGTCATTTTGCTTAGGTAAGAGTAATAATACATTACCAGCATGATTGACAACTGACATGATCACTGAACAATTAGAGAGAAGGTGGGGCATTAATTAGAATGTCTCACCTCCTTTTTATATGACCGCAAAAGCGGTCATATATTGGTGTGATGTTCGCGTCTGCGTCATTTGAAGACACATTGGTTTTCGCACAATAACTTTAGTTTAAGTGAATGGATCTCTATGAAATTTTACCATAAGGTTCAATACCACAAAAGGAAGGTTGGGATTGATTTTGGGGGTTATGGTACCAACAGTTAAGGAATTAGGGGCCCTAAAGGGGCCAAAAATAAGCATTTTTATACGCCCGTTTACGGGACGTATTATGGTATACTGTTGTCCGTCCGTCCGTCTGTCCGTCTGTCCGTCCGTCTGTCCGTCGTCAACATGTCGGACATTAACTCAAAAATGCTTTAACCAATTTGCATAAAACTTTGGTGAATTGTTTATATCTATTGACATGAGCTCCCTTTCGTTTTTTATAAAATTTAGATTTTACGTTTCCGAGTTATGGGGTTTTATTCATTAAAAAAAAGGGGGATTTTCCAGTTTTCGGACAATAAGTCAAGAATGCTTTCACCAACTTGCAAGAAATTGTGGTGAATTGTTTATATCTATTGACATGAGCTCCCTTTTGATTTTTATAAATTTTAGATTTTACGTTTCTGAGTTACAGGGTTTTATTCATAAAAAAAGGGGGGATTTTCCAGTTTTAGGACAAAAACTCAAAAATGCTTTCAGCAATTCTTATGAATATTTGGGGAATTGTTTGTATGTATTGATGTAAGCTCCCTTTAGAATTTTATAAATTTTACATTTTACATTTCTGAGTTATGGGGTTTTATTCATTAAAAAAAGGGGTGACTTTCCAGTTTTTGGACAATAACTCAAAACTGCTGTCACCAATTCTCATGAAACTTTGGTGAATTGTTTATATCTATTAACATGGGCTCCCTTTTGATTTTATAAATTTTAGATTTTACGTTTCCGAGTTACAGGGTTTTATTCATAAAAAAGGGGGGGATTTTCCAGTTTTCGGACAAAAACTCAAAAATGCTTTCAGCAATTCTTATGAAAATTTGGTGAATTGTTTGTATGTATTGATGTAAGCTCCCTTTAGAATTTTATAAATTTTACATTTTACATTTCTGAGTTATGGGGTTTTATTCATTAAAAAAAGGGTAGATTTTCCAGTTTTTGGACAATAACTCAAATTTGCTGTCACCAATTCTCATGAAAGTTTGGTGAATTGTTTATATCTATTGATGTAAGCTCCCTTTTTATTTTCATAAATTTCTAATATGACATTGAGAATAAATTGAACTTTATTTGTTTATAGTCTGAAAACAGATATACTAAGTATTGCACAACAGCAAGAACTCTTTAATTGAATATAAATTCAATTCATATAACCAATTTCAAGTTCTTTGACTACATTTATTCAGAAACCTATAATAAGTCAAATATTTAATTACAATCCAAATTCAGACCTGAATCAAGCTTGAATATTGTGTCCATTTTTGCCCCAACTGTTCAGGGTTGGACCTCTGCGGGCGTATCTAGCTGCGCTCAGCGAAGCAGTTTATTGTAACTTCCAGACCTTGTGTGTTAGTTTATGGAGCTCTCTGACATTGTACCACAAGGTTCCATATCACAAAGGGAATGCTGGGATTGATTTTGGGGGTAATTGCCTCAAAATTTTAGGAATTAGGGGGCAAAAAACAAGCATTTTTCCAGTTTCATGACAATAATTTGTGTGTAAGTGTATGGATCTTTCTGAAATTGTACTACAAGGTTCCATATCACAAAGGGAAAGCTGGAATTGAGTTTGGGGGTAATTGCCCAAAACGTTTAGGAATAAGGGGCCAAAAAGGGGCTAAAAATAAGCATTTTTCTAGTTTCCAGACAATAACTTGTGTTCAAGTGTATGGATCTCTCTGAAATTGTACTGCAAGGTACCATACCACAAAGGGAAGGCTGGGATTGATTTTGGGGGTAATTGCCTCAAAATATTAGGTATTAGGGGACTTAAAGGGGCAAAAAACAAGCCTTTTTCTAGTTTCAGGACAATAACTTGTGTAAGTGTATGGATTTTTATGAAATTGTACTACAAGGTTTCATATCACAAAGGGAAAGCTGGGTTTGAGTTTGGGGGTAATTGCCCTAAATGTTTAGGAATTTGGGGCCAAAAAGGGGCCAAAAATCAAGCTTTTTTACAGTTTCCAGACAATAACTTGTGTTCAAGTGTATGGATCTCTCTGAAATTGTACTGCAAGGTACCATACCACAAAGGGAAGGCTGGGATTGAGTTTGGGGGTGATGAATCATAAGGGGGTTCAAAAAAAAATTGTGGGGTGGGATTTTTTTTCCCTTTTTTTTTTATTTCCTTTTTTTCCTTTTTTTTTCTTTAAAATTTTCCATTTGAAGTTGGTTATTTTTTATTTATATATAAAAGCAAATATTATGATATGGTTTGATTTCATCAAAAATTGAAATATTGGGGTTCTTTGATATGCTCAATTTAACAATGTATTTAGATTCTTAATTTTTGGTCCTGTTTTCAAATTAGTCTACATTAAGGTCCAAAGGGTCCAAAATTAAACTTGGGGTTCTTTGAGATGCTGAATCTAACCGTGTATGTATTTAGATTTTGGATATTGGACCATAATAGGTAAATTAAAAATTTTTAAGTTCTTAGACCACTTTCATTCTGTGTCACATAATTAATCACAATCCAAATTCGGAGCTGTATCAAGCTTGAATGTTGTGTCCATACTTGCCCCAACTGTTCAGGGTTCGACCTCTGCAGTCGTTTCAAGCTGCGCCCAGCGGAGCATTTTATTTCTTCTGAAAAGGTGCTTATCCTTTTAAAGACCTGTGGAAAATGCAATGGTCTGCAATAGTCCTATATTAATGTTCTTTTTTGTCCACACCATACTTAAATATGATTTGAAATTATTCAAACTACTCTTCCAATCTTTCCATGAGTGATTTCCATCACTTTGATTTTATTTGAGTGTTACTGTATAGTGTTTTTTGTGTGTGGCATACAAAATCATAAGCCTTTTGTCTTTGATGAGTTTCCTTCTATATGCTTGAAAATTTATACTCGGCTAATAATATTGTTGACAAGGAAATGTCCAGGATTTTAGAAAATTTTATTTACTTATAATTACCAAAATATTTAGAATGCTGCAATGTACACAAAGAGAAACATGGTTTAGCCAATATTTTTCAACTTTATAATTTGTAGGCAAAACTCAAGGTAGATATTTATATGACCTGGATATTGAACTTACATGAAAATTGTTTATTTTTCCAGACAATTACAGATGCAACAAATTCAACAAGTGATGCAGCAATTACAGGAAAATGAACAGTTTAAAAACCTGCCACCATTACAGCAGCAACAGCTGGCCATGCAACTCATGTTAAAACAATCACCTGTCCCAATCATACCACAACAGTCACAGATGCAGAAATTATCACCCAGGTCAGTCAGTTATGACACTATTATTAGAACACTGCCAAGTCTACCAGCACAATAACTGGAAAAGGGGGATTTCCCTTACTATCATATAAAAAAATTGTTAGAAAGACTGAATTTTTCATCATGATGTAATTAATTTGAATTAGAAATTGGGTGGCATCACTTTTACTGTTCATGAGTTTTGCCCCTTTATAAACATAAAAATTGATGAATTTTTGGTTTCCGTTCTCTAACTTTAGTTTGCCTCAACCAAATGTTATGAAACTTATACACAATGCTTTTAATCACAAAACGGTCTTAACAATGTGAATCCTGCCTCTGTATGTGGAAGTTGACTCCTGCATATTCTCCATTTCTTTTTGTCAAGTTTGAATTTGGTTGGCGTCACATTCACCGTTCTCTAGTTATGTCACTTTATAAATGGAAACATTGCTGAACTTGCTGTTTCCGCATTAAGTTTGAAAGAAAACAAAACATCAATAGGAATTAGTTCATTGACTCTTGCATATTTACAAGTGGGGGCATCTGTGTCCCATGTACACATTCTTCTTTTAAATTTCAAATATTTAATGATTATATAATTTGAATGATATTTCAGTAGATCTCCGCCAACAGAATCAGTCTCACCATCAAATCCTAGTCATCCAGCATTTCATCGCTCTGCCTCACAACCAAACACATCAACAGAAGAATCAATATGGGACACAACTACCAAACAAAATATGGGTATGGTTACCATTACTTATTTGTCATGTGAAACTGACAGGGGGCCATAAGGTCAAGTTTTTTATTAGTCCCCTACCGACAAAGTCGAATGGGACTTTAGGTTTGCACTCCGTTCGTCTGTATGTCTGTCTGTCCGTCCGTCTGTCTGTCTGTCCATCTGTCAGTCCGGCAAATCAGTTTTCCAGACTTTTTTTCTTCGTGCTTGAAGATATTGATTTGATATTTGGTTTATTGATTTATCATGACAAGTTACAGGTCAAGTTCAATTTTCACGATTATAGCTTTTCTCTTTGTTCAGTTAAAGCCCTTTCCCTAGAATTAAATTTTTGATGAAATACTTATTAATTAGTAGATTTCTGTTCAAAGGGAAATAACTCATTTTTTAAAAGACTTTTAAAAGATTAAATGACATTTTGGATTTTTTTCCTTTTCTTTGGTAAATTGTTTGAAGAATTTAGTGGTAGGTTTGTTTGTCATTCTGGAAGATATTGATTTGATAATTAGTATATAGTTTAATCATGACAAGTTACAGATCAAGTTGGAATTTTGTTCCAGTCTGATAATTCTGTGCAGAGTTATGGTCTTTGGACATAGAAAATTCACTTAAATAATCAGTTTTCAACAGTTTTTTTCGTCATGCTTGAAGATTTTGACTTGATATTTTTATGTAGTTTACACCATGAAAAGTTATAGATCAAGTTAGAATTTCGTTCCATTACAATGAATTTGTAAATGGTAGGGGACTATGTATTGCCATACAATACTCACAGAATGCTTGTTGAGTTCTTTTTGGTCAAGGTTTAGTTCTCAATGTCGTATACAATTATAATATCCACATTAAAATTTAAAATTATTTCTGGACTTCAGCAAGTCAATTGACAATTCATGGGTCATTTGTATTTATTTTATTTAAGAATTTAATGCTTATTTTTTCGTAATTTTATTGGAAGTGGAAGCTCTTCATATAGAAAAGCAAAAAAAAGCTTTCAATACTTATAATTACATTATTGTCTTGCCTGTCATGAAAGTAGGGGAAGGCAAGACAGGTGTTGCTTTTCTGGCAATGTTGTTGGTGTCAACAATTGTTAAGTTTTCAGCTTACAGCAAAATGCCTTGAGTGTGTAGGTAAAGGTAATATATTTGGTTAGCTTGCTTGCTAGCTGAACCGTGAAGTCATTATTTAGTTAGGTATACTACCCTCCTTTAATAGTAGACTAGTCCGACAGATAACCAATCTATCTGTCTGTAGGACTACACTACTCCAAAAGGAGGGTAGTATACCTTACCTAATAATGATTTCATGGTTCAGCTAGCAAGCAAGCTAACCAAAGATATTACCTTAACCTACGCACTCAAGGCATTTTGCTGTAAGTCAGTTTGATAGGAACTACTTGTGATAGATCAACAGATATGTTCTATAAAGTTGCATTACTTTCAGTGCATATCAGTATGATGACTATTTCAAGGCCCTGACCCTAGGTCATGATCCAGCAACTTTGAATTAATAAGCAATGCTGCTGTCCATTAGATTTTCTCTTTCTGAATTTTCATGCTGCCAGGCAAGACAACTCTGTGTTAACAGTTTATTCTACAACATTAAGATTATGAGTAATATCAAGCTTTTCGCTTGTCTTCCTGTTTTTAGTTGTGACATTATCACAGGATGCATGTGTAGAAATAAAATACAATTTTGGAATGCCTTACGATTGTTGGCAGCCAATTAAAAGTTTGGATCTTATAAAGCATACAAGTAATGTGATTATTTATTTATAGTTTCAGGAGGCTGGTCGCAACCTACAAGTGTATGGGATTTAGATTCCAAAACCGCTATGACAAATACAGACCTAGAGATGCAGATAGAAAAAGCTAGAAAAGTGAGTTATATTAGAAACATTAACAATTTCAATTATAGATGAAGACTGTTAAGAAATTTGTACTATTAATTACATGCTATGAAATGGGAAGGGTCAGTAAGTCGGATTAAAAAAATATAACTATTTTTATGCCCCACCTACGATAGTAGAAGGGGTATTATGTTTTCTGGTCTGTGCATCCGTTTGTTCGTCCGTCAGTTCATCCGTCTGTCCCGCTTCAGGTTAAAGTTTTTGGTCAAGGTAGTTTTTGATGAAGTTGAATTTTAATGCCAAATTAGAGTGTTGACCCCAATTTCACGGTCCACTGAACATAGAAAATGATAGTGCAAGTGGGGCATCCGTGTACTATGGACACCTTCTTGTTTAATTTAAAGAATTTTAATGATTCAAAATGTAAGGATTCAGTTTGGAGATAGTTTTGTCTGAATGTGTTCATTTGTTAAAGATTGTCTTAAATCAAGTGAAATACACTGAAAAATTCACTTTCGTTATCAAATTCTAATTTGAAGTTTGAATCTAATACCAGAAGTAAATAGGGATTACTTTTTGTAAAGGTCAGAAATGGGACATAATTCTTTGTCAACCTTTGGCAACAATATATGAAAAATGCTGAGTGTATCCATCTTGAAATAAAGTATAGTGTAATTAACATGCCAGAAAATTAAATGAATAACAGAAAATTACTATGAAAATTAATAGATACAGGCATAATTTATTTCATGAAACATTTAATATGGGCTACAAGGTTTGACATTGGAAGCAAAAGTCAACATTTTTTCATTTAAATGAAATAAGTTCAAATATAAAGATTAAAAAAAAATCCTATTTGTTTCCAGGAAAAAGAAGAATTAGATAGAATAAGACAAGAAAAAGATGAAGAAGAAAGAAGAATTCATGAAGAGTTAAAAAGGCAACAAGAAGAAATGTTAAAACAACAGGAAGAGCTACGCAGACAAAAGGAGGAAATGGAGCGACAGACAATAGAAATCGAAAAACAAAGGCAGCTAGAATTACGGGTGGGTACATACTGAATAAACCTGTTATAAGGCCAAATGAAAATATTCCAGTTACATCCTGAAAAAAAATGGTGAGAAGGTCAGTTTTTTTGTTGGTTTTTTTTTTTTGGATTGTCTGGGGAATAAAATTGTGTGTTCACCAAGTCTGATTCCAGTATTATACAAGCCACTACCAGAAGTTCACCATTTTCTATATGTTTGGTTGTAAAATAAACAGGCATGTTACGTTTTAAGTTAATTTTGTTGCATTCTGTTAAGAATTTGTTGCATCGGGTAACTGGAACCACATATATATTTTTGTTTGGCCTAAATAGTAACTGAGGAAATAGGTAGCAACCATGCTCTCAGAGGTATATCTATTACTTACAGAAGAATTTTAACTTAGTAATTTACTTTAACATTTTATCAGCTGTGGCTATGTTGCTTGCAAGATTGTGCTAGTTTAGAGATAACTGTATTGTATTTGAAGCTTTGCGGATGTCCATCGGTAGTTTTACTGTTGCAAATTTAGTTTACCTGGCGATGCGGAGCGTAGACAGGTAAACAGATATTTGCGACAGTAAAACTACCGATGGACGTCCGCAAAGCTTCAAATACAATACAGTTATCTCTATTCTAATGCAAAAAAACAAATCATTCAATTTAAGTCATTGTTTCAGTGTAAAATTTTCATTAAACCAAAATTCCGCGAAATGATGTTATCTTCTTTGGAGCCTAAACTAGGTGACGTCATAGGTATGCTTCCGGCATTAAACATAAACACCGCACGTTTTCTGGCTTCTTGTCCACTTAAGAATGTAATAAAATATGATAAGAAGAAGATTTCTAAGTGCAAATTGTAAGTTTTTTTGTTTATTTTTGAAGAAATTACATGTCAATACATTCCGGAATTCAAAATGTTGGCTTCCTTAGTTACAGACAGGGAGATAGAGAATTTTACGCTTATTGTCATCCAATCAGAACCATTGATACAAAATAATTGCATTAGAATTGCAGGTTGTTTTTAATAACATATTGGATAAATATTGGAACTGCACTTAGTAAAAAATATAGATAAGCATGTTGTTCATTCTAAGCAGGGTTTATTGTCATATCACATTAAAATATTCTCCTCCTGAATGTGCATTTAAGAAAGTTTGCTACTCTTGTTTATGACTTTTTGTAAGATTTTCAGAATCCTCTAGTTTTATCCATGTAATTCCAATAAAAATTTTGCCCGCTAACCCTTACTTTTCTTTTCATAATTTTATAACATATAGCTCACCTGGCTCAAAATGACCTGATTATATCTCAAAAACAAGGACATGACCCTTTCATTTTTTTCTGCATTTAAGTACCTTTATTTATAAACTATCAATTTATAGTAGTCTTTTAAAAAGATTGTTATTTTGAAACAGAGGAGGGAATATCCTTTACTTGCAACTGGACATTAAACATCCATTCATCATCAACATTGCCATTCTAATATTTACTGCTGGATCAATTTTTATAAAGCCAAATAAGAAATTTTTGTTTTTATTTTACCATTGCTTCTTTCTTCTTTTATTAAATGTAATTTTATTATTGCATTCAGAGATTAGAGGAAGCAAGAAGACAGAACCAAGAAGAAGAGGAAAGAAAAAGGAGGGAAGCAGAGGAGGAAGAAAGAAGAAGAAAAGAAGACCAAATGAGAAAAGAAGAACAAATGAGACAGAAACAGGAAGAAGCAGTAAGAAGGAAAAGAGAAGATGATATTAGGTTAGTTGTAAAATTGCAATTCAATTTAAAAACGCCGTACTGTAAATTCAGAAATTTTTGTGTGCATTTATTTTGGCTATTGTTGAACAAAAATGCCAGATTAATGTCAACTATATAAAAAAAAATGTGGCATTAAAATAATGCTAACAAAATTTAAAATGCAACATATTATTTTTGCAAACCTCCCTTGTCGCAATTTTCACAAAAATAAAAACATTTCTGAATTTGCAATATATGTAAATGACACCCTGAAAGAAAGTTTTTCATCAAAATACGAGGGTTGGGGTTGGGTTAACAAAATAGAGAATAAAGTGTAGAAAGTAGGATAAAAAGATTTAAGAATAGAGAAAAATAAGGCAAAGAAATAAAGAAGAAAGAATAATAGTAAAAATATATGAATAAATAGATAAAAATGGTAAAAAAAAGTTCAAGAATAAAGAAATGAAAGACCGGATCCAGACCTTCAAAATGTTGATTATTACAAAGAAAAATGCTTCTACTTCTGTATCATTAGTTTTATAAATAAGATATTCTGAAATGATAAAATATTATACAATTACTGTCTTTTGATGAGGTAAATATGTGGTTTAATTGACTTTTGAAAAACTGAGATTATCCATTTTTCAAAAGTCAGTTAAACCACATATTTACTGAAACAAAAGAAAGTAATTGTTTTATTCCATATTCCTAGAAAAAAACAATGTTTTTAATGACAATTATTTACCTAAACTAATTGTACGTTTAGTGCGGTGAATATCCCTTTTCTTCAGGTACATCAAAAATTTGATCATTACGTTACATATAAAAGCACATGACCTTTAGCTCAGTGTCTCGGTGAATATACCTTTTCCATAAGTGAATATGCTGTTTTATTCAAAATCAAAATCATACAGAAATACCTGCTTAAATAATACCAATAAGGAATAATTTTTAATATTGCTTACATCAAATACACAAAATACTATAATGACCCCTAACCTCCCACATACATTTAAATGGAATAGCCCATAAAAAAATACACTTACATTAAAATTATTTCAAAACAATTGTATGCAGTAAATTGTTATTGTTGTTTATCTGTAGAAGAGAAGAGGAGATGAGACAACAACAGAGACAGATGATGGAACAACAACATAAACAGAGGGAGATGGAGGAACAACAAAAACAACAACAAGAAATACAGAGGCGACAGGTAAGTTGTGTCAAATATGAATAAAAAAGAGCTGTCGTGTGAAAGATGAATAAAAGAGATATGATGTTAAAGGCTTATAAAATGTAATGTGGTGTTAAAGATGGATAAACAGTGATGTATGAAAGATGAATAAAAAGTGAGGTAGTGTCAAAGATGAATAAAAAGTGAGGTAGTGTCAAAGATGAATAAAAAATGTGGTGGTGTGAAAAATGAATAAAAAGTGATGTGGTGTCAAAGATGAATAAAAAGTGATGTGATGTGAAAGATGAATAAAAAGTGATGTGGTATCAAAGATGAATAAAATGTGATGTGATGTGAAAGATGAGTAAAAAGAGATGTGGTGTCAAAGATGAGTAAAAAGTGATGTGGTGTCAAAGATGAATAAAAAGTGAGGTGTTGTCAAAGATGAATAAAAAATGATGTGGTGTGAAAGATGAGTAAAAAGAGATGTGGTGTCAAAGATGAGTAAAAAGTGATGTGGTGTCAAAGATGAATAAAAAGTGAGGTGGTGTCAAAGATGAATAAAAAGTGATGTGGTGTCAAAGATGAATAAAAAGTGAGGTGGTGTCAAAGATGAATAAAAAGTGAGGTGGTGTCAAAGATGAATAAAAAATGTGGTAGTGTGAAAAATGAATAAAAAGTGATGTGGTGTCAAAGATGATTAAAAAGAGATATGATGTTAAAGGCTTAAATAATGTGATGTGATGTTTAAGATGGATAAAAATAGATGTTATGTTAGTTAAAGATGAATAAAAAGTGATGTTATGTTGAAGATGAATAAAAAGTGAAGTGGTGTCAAAAATGATTAAAAAGGAATGGGGTGTTAAAAATGAATAAAAAGAGATGTGGTGTTAAAGAGGTATATTATGTGATGTGAGCTAAAAGAGGAATAAAATGTGTGTGGTTTAAAATGAATTAAAGAATAAAGGAGGTGGTGTGTCAAAGTTTATGAAACAGCAATTGGTTTACACAATAAAACCAAAAAAAGACAAATAGAGTGCAACAATAGGGAATTTTCCATAGCATATGAAACTATAAATCTTAAGTTCCTAACAAAGTTCACAGGTTTAACCATAGAGCTGCCAATTTTTCTAAAGAAAATGAACACTATGATATAACTTGGGAAAGACATTTACAAGGATCCTTATTTGAGACATGCATATGAGTACTACTCAGTTCTGTATAAAGGATTATACTACATATTGGAGTCTTGTCAATAATTAATGAAATATATGAGGATAAATGTCAATTTTAACTGTATAATATATTACAGGAGGAAGCCCGACAACAACAGGAACTACATAGGCAAAGACAACAACAAGAGGCCCTAAAGAGGTTACAACAGGAACAGATGGCAAATATACAGGTATAGTTACATATATTTAGTGAGAACTGCAGACCCTCACTAGAAAATGTCATTTCCTTATATTGATGATATATGTTTATTTTTGTGACACAAAAAAGTATGAATTTCAGGAAGATAAAAAAAAAAGTAAAAATCTTGGTAGGCTCAAGTGCAGAAATATCACTGGCTTAATTGTGAAACTAAAATTTTCACAAATTAAAATCTTAGATGAATATGGTAAAGTTGCAAATGATTAAAAATATTTATGGTGACCATGATTAATGAGCAAAACCAGTACTGTATAATAAGCTATGAATGGTCTTGTGATGACGAAACGTGAAACTATTCAAAAGAGAAAACCAATTGCCTGATTTATGCTAACACCAATAAATGATGGCAGACAGCATTAAACGACAACCACAGGTCTGCCACGCACCTGGGAAAATTGGAAAAAGCCAGGATATTCTAAGGTGCTCCTAGCCGGGAAAAGGTTGGGGAAAATCCCTGAAAGTCAAAATACCGGAAGTTTAAAAACAAATTGAATATCTCCCTTGTGCTGGTTGATTCCTATCTCGAAAATTGGTACCCGTATGTTTAACAGGTACTCATGAATGCATTTCTCAGGACATAATGTATGTGGCGAGTAAAAAGGGTTTTTCAGTATTCGATCACTTCTAACTTGGGACTTTGGTGTAACAGTTCAACATAAGAACAAACTGCAAGAATCTCATCAGATCAGTACTAAACACAAACATGTTTTCAAATACTTTTTGAATTTTGAGTGGGTATGCTTAGCAAGACAATGTGTGCACTCTTGTTAATGTTTTCTGTGTTTGTTAGGGCTATTCCATTAAAAAAATGTCGGAGGGTAGGAAGGCAAGTTTAATTATTGAATGTGGGGTCATGGGTCTTTTTTCAGTATGCATCTATTACCATTATGCAAAATTATCTAAAAAATGGTTCTTAGTTGTAGGGATATTTTGAAAGTCCTCTCCTACCCTCCCACATACATTTTAATGGAATAGCCCTTATTATTAAAGATATCTAATGTTTGGACTTGAATAAAATAGACTTACATACTTCATACTTGCAGTTACCACAACATGCACAATGGGCCAGTCAGCAGCAGCAGAGTTTGGAACAACAACAAAGAGCTAAGTCACTGCTAGAAATACAGGAACAGGAAGAAATGGAACGACAGAGACAAGAGGAGGTAATAAATCCTTTCACTGCATTCTAAGAAATACTATTCATGAGGTTACAGTCGATTTCAATGAGTGTGTAGCTAAAGGTAATATCTTTAGTTAGCTTGCTTGCTAGCTGAACCGTAAAGTCATTGTTCGGTAAGGTATACTACCCTCCGTTCGTAGTAGCCTAGTCCTACAGACAGATAGATTGGTCATCTGTCGGACTAGTCTACTATTAAAGGAGGGTAGTTTACCTAACCTAACAATGACTTCACGGTTCAGCTAGCAAGCAAGCTAACCAAAGATATTACCTTTGCCTACACACTCATTGAAATCGGCTGTAAATAAAAAGTGTGTGTTTAGGTTGTCATTTGCCAAAATCTGTTTAGTCTTATCGTTGCAGGGGACATAGAAATACTGGAGTTATATCATAGATTTATATCAGCTAGGTCTTGGACAAATTTAAAAATCAGTGCCGATCAATTATTTTTGAAAGAGTTATGGCACTTGGAAATATTGATTTGTATGGAATATTGCATTGTTAGTGCTCTGACATGTATATGTACAATTCTTGCAAAATTTTTATGAAACTTATATCATAGGTTTATATCAACAATGTCTCTGACAATTTTGAAAATAAGTGCTGATCAAATATTTCTTTTATGAGTTATGCCACTTGGTAATATTAATGATATCAGGAATTGTATTGCGTTTGCTCTCAAACCTTTATTTCTCTTTAAGTTATTACCCTTAAACCTTGCATCTTGGACAGATAAAATATGTGCAATGCAAGGGACATTGGAACTCTGTTCTTTTATTTAAGGAAAAATATGAATGTTAAACTTAATCTTGGATACACTAAATTTATAAATTTTACAACTATTCACCAGAGACAAAAGGACAAGGATTTTTACCATATTGTAAGTTATTAAAGGAATTCCATAACTGATTGTTTACAATTTAAAAGTCTTTTAAATTTTGATTGTTATTCTGTAGATACAGAGACAGTTAGAGGCACAGAGACAACAACAACAGGCCATACTACAGCAGCAGCAACAACAGAAGTCATGGTCAGGACAAATGTATGTTAATAGCAGAACACTGCATCACATCGAATGTACAAAACAGTCTTCACAATAAACTTTCCAATCTACAGACCTGAAGCTTAATTTTATGAAAATCTAAATTAGATTCTATTGGCCTGTGGAGATGATTTTTACAGGCCGACAAAATTTTTACAAGCCTGGGCTGGTGGGCCTGTGGTTAAGCTCGAAGACTGATAAAATGTGACAAAATTATTATTATACCCCCGCTTTAAAAAAGTGGGGGTATACTATTTTACCTCTGTCTGTTTGTCCGTCCCATGAATATCTTTCGTCGCATCTTTCTCAGGAACTACATCATAAGGATTTCTGAAATTTGGTTTCAGGGTTTATATTAGTCAGCTATACCGTGTGATGCGTTTTCAGATTCATCACTCAGCAACTTCCTGTTTACCGAACACTTGCATATTTGTACACTATTAAAATTAACCCGTTGCGGCGGGGGTATCATCAGTGAGTGAGCAGTAGCCCGCAGTTTCACTTGTTTAAAACTCCTCTACAATGGATCTTGATTTAATGCTGATCATATGGATCATAATAAATTTGTTGTATATGAACATGCATCAAAAATGAAATATTACATGCATAATGTTTGGTTTATATCAGAAAAACAACATTTTCATAAAGATTTTGTCATTGGAGAATTTTCAAATTTATGGGAAATTATAGATGAGTCTCTGCTTATTTTTGAGATATTCCGTTTAAAATGAATGTTTGAAAGGTAAAAAGAGAAGTATAAATTTTGGGTCATTTATAGTTATATGTCCATTGGATGTATGCAAAACTACTCGAAGAAAAATATGGATGTGGGAGATTTTTTTTAAATACATCTGTTATAATGGAACAGCCCTGACAAAATTTGAAAAACATGTATAAATATTTTGTGGAAATAACGAGAATTAAAAAATAAATGTGTAAGAATTGTATTTCTGATGCATGTCTTTTTTAAATGTTGAGGAAAATCCGGGTAAATAAAAAAAAAAGCCAAACTTGAGGGAAACAAGAATGTGTTCAAAGTACACAGATGCCCTACTCGCACTATCATTTTCTATGTTCAGTGGACCGTGAAATTGGGGTCAAAACTCTAATTTGGCATTAAAATTAGAAAGATCATATCATAGGGAACATGTGTACTAAGTTTCAAGTTGATTGGACTTCAACTTCATCAAAAACTACCTTGACCAATAACTTTTAACCTGAAGCGGGACAGACGGACGGATGCACGAACGGACGCACAGACTGAAAAACATAATGCCCCTAGGTGGGGCATAAAAATAATAATAACTTTATAATATGAGAGGCAAACAACCTAAACAAGTGCATTATTAAGTCTCCCAAACGAAGTTTGGGAAGACATTGTTTTTGCTCAGTTCTTATTATTTTTCTTCTTCTTCTTCTTCTTCTTCTTCTTCTTCTTCTTCTTCTTCTTCTTCTTCCACCGAACTTGTCCGCATCCATGCTCCAAAACCACTGGTCAGATTAACAGGGTTATACAATATGTTAGACTAACATGTCTAGTGTTGCAATCAGGGTTTTGTTTGTTCAATGGGGTTTATAAAGGGGTACTTTGAGGGGCATAAAGGAAGGAGGGGTTTACTATAGAACCCTATGGGATTTTATTTTTTTTTTATTTTCAAATGATTATAACTTGAAAACAGTTAGTGATAGACACAATCTTTGTAATTGAAAATGTTCTAAATGATAAAGCACATTAAATGAAATACAAGGTTAGTCACCAGGGGTCGTCCCCACCCCCTGTCATTTGAGAAAGTTCTAGTATCTTGTAAGTGGTAAAGATCCCCACTCCTTAACCATATATACTGTAAATTCAGAAATTATTGCGATGTTTTTATTATTGCGAAAAATGCGACAGGGTTATATTCGCAATAATTTAAACTCGCATTTTGAAATTTTTTATTTGAATTAAGCAGGATTTTTCTCAATATCGCAAAAATTAAAATGGCAATTTAGTCTAAAATGACAAAATCGCAATAATAAATGCACGCAATAATTTCTGAATTTACAGTATTCTGGTTGGTCATGCCAAGATGATTTGAATGATAAACAGGGTTAGTCCCCAGGGGTCGTTTAGACCCCCTGCCATTTTAAAAAGTTTAAATATCTTGTAAGTGGTCAGGATCCCTACCCCTTAACCATATATATGCTGGTTTGTCATGCCAAGATGATTTAAAAGATAAGCATGGTAAGACCCAAGGGGTCATCCCAACCCCCAGTCATTTGAATATGTTCAAATATCTTGTTAATGGTCGAGATCCCCACCCCTAAACCATATATATTCCTGTTTGTCATGTCATGAAGATTTGAATGATATATAGGAAAGGTCCCCAGGGTTTCCCCCCACCCCGAATGTTATAATACCTTGTAAATGGTTGAGATCCCCACCCCCTTAACCATATATATGCCTGTTTGTCATGTTCCAAAGATTTGAATAATATATAGGGTCAGTTCCCAGGTGTTCTCCCAACCCCAAATGTTCTAATATCTTGTAAATGGACGAGATCCACACCCCTAAATCATATATATTCCTGATCGTCATGTCACAAAGATTTGAATGATATATAGGGTCAGTCCCCAGGGGTCACCCCCTCCCAAATGTTCTAATATCTTGTAAATGGTTGAGATCTCCACCCCTAAACCATATTTATTCCTGTTCATCATTTCACATAGATTTGAATGACATGCAGGGTCAGTCCCTAGGCATTACTTATGCATATCACTTTACTGGACCAAACCAATTTGTACTGGACTTTGCCCAATATCAGGCGACCATAGGAATGACGAATTATGGGAGCTTCGTTTGGGAGACTTCGTAACAGCATTCTGTTACAATCATTTCTTGTTATTTTCTAGATTTCCATCTCAACAAAGTTCCAAATCATTAATAGAAATACAAGAGGAGCAAGCTCGGCAGCTAGATAAGGAAAGACAACGAAAACAACAACAACAACAAACCCAAGCCAAGGTCAATATATATATATGTTTATATAAGGATTTTTTTTAGAGTATATACTGTTAAATATCACCTAAATTAAGGATTTTTGACAGGTAAAAGTGATGTGATCTAAACAAAAAACAAAAAACAGTTCTTTAACCTAGCAGTCTGCACAGATAACCACTAGTCCGATGCCCAAGACTAGTAAAATTTTAAGCAGTCTGCACAGATAACCACTAGTCCAATGCCCAAGACTAGTAAAATTTTATTTGGACTAGAAGTATTTGCAAAACTTTGTTTAAACACATACTAAAAATGTTGGAACATTGGTCTTTGGATCAAAAGTTGGAAAAGATTTTAGTGCAGACAATTTAGGAAGCTTACTATAATGATAGGGTCAAACTTATATCACAATATGATATCAGCCTATATCCCATGTAAAGCAAGAATAACAATTATATCATGCTGGAGTGTCCTGATTTAAACATTAATTTCTATTCTGATCATTGTTTTTGTTCACAGGTTATATGTGCTCAAGCTCATATACCCTGTGCAGCCTATCGGGGAAACCAATCAAATTGCAGGATTGTCCGTGATATTTCACTCAAATATAATAAACTGAAATTTTTACTTTTATTTTACAGAATCTATCTATATCAGCAGCAAGTGCATGGAATGCTAGTGCACAGTCATCACATTGGGCCAGTGAAGGAGCATGGGGTAACCAAGCTAGAAGTCAGAATGGATCAGGATCTCTTGGATTCTGGGATGAAGCCATTGTATCTTCTAAAAGAGCACCTGCATCATCAAATAAAAAGTAATTTCTAGTTTTATCACTTTGGAGAACTTACCGATTTGGTTTATGCTTTAATAAAGGGAGAATTAAGCACCAAATTAACAGGTGTAATATGTGTCACTCTACCCTTAGGTGAGGGGGCGAGTACAATATTATAATTATAATATGGTAAGTAAGCTTGAATTTTTTTGGTCAACTTTAGGAAAATAGAACTGTTTTGTGTTGTTGCGAGTATGAGTTCTTAAGCAGACTGTATAGTTCTGTTAAAATCCACTTATTAGGGCCCTGCAAGCTTGTTCAGGGTGACATATTAGTTATAAGTCAGTATTCTGATTTTTATCATCAATAATTTCCTTAAAATAAATAACTTTTATTCTTTTCAGTTTGAATTTGAGGATGAGGCAAAAAAAAAAAAATATGTCTGTTTTCGGTAACCCGACCGACCCTACTTTTGAGTGCCGACCTTAAGTCATTTTATTCCCGTCATAAAGTGAAAAATTAACTGAACTTGTTTCAAAAGGGAAGTTAGAGTTGCCAATAAAATAAATCAATTGCCTGATACATCTAAATGTTCACAATCATGAATATGACAGCTGTTTTAAGAAACTTGTGACTCGTGTGATGAAATAAACACTTTGCCACCATTTTTTTCCAACCATTAACCAAGGGAAATAATCCAATCATTTAAAATATGGGTTAACTCATCCCATGGACAACTCGGACCACGGCAAGACGGACCGCATTACTCAAAATCATGTTGCAAAAAATAAATTTGGAAATACCAACCTATTGTTTTTAATGATGTAACCTTAAATACACATATATTTTATTTGGCCTGGTTTAGAAATAATTTGAAAGATCATATTGGTTGCCTGCTCTATTTGACAATAGAAGATTACTGTGTTCAACATATCTTTAATAAGTTTATTTTATTAAAATATAGATTCAGTGAAATGACAGTACGAATGCTTTCTCTCTCTATTAAAGTACTTTTAAATTAGGTTTATTATTTTTTTTCAGAGTGCAAGGTAATCCTACAGAATTTCCAGCATTAAAGGGAGGTAACCCGGTAAACACACCTTCAGTGCCTGTGTCTAAACCACAAAAACAATCAAAGATGAAGAAAGAGGAGGTAATATTCATATTCATCATGGATTGTATTTAGGAGGGTCTGGATGGGTTTACAGAATAGAGAATAATAGACCAAAAAATAAAGAATAGATATTCTCTTATGAAGGTGGCTGGTTATCTATTTCTTGCATGAATAGATATTTCTGATATCACACTGCACGGATGGTGATACGAAAACTGTGTTAAATTTGATTGGCTTATCCAGGATCAGGAGACGATATTACGACATTTCCATTGGATATTCGTTAGGTCATTGTTAACTTTCAAAGGTTAAGGCGATGTACATTTCGTCCATGGCAATGGACATATGTGATTTCATCAATTATATAATAAACAAACACACTTTTCACCTGGAAATCATTTTTTATACGACCGCAAAAAAAATTTTGTGGTCGTATATTTGTATGACGTCGTCGGCGTCGTCCGAAGACACATTGATTTTCGCACTCTAACTTTAGTTTAAGTGAATGGATCTCTATGAAATTTTACCACAAGGTTCAATACCACAAAAGGAAGGTTGGGATTGATTTTGGGGGTTATGGTACCAACAGTAAAGGAATAAGGGGCCAAAAAGGGGCCAAAAATAAGCATTTTTGTAACTTCCAGACATAACTTGTGTGTTAGTGTATGGATCTCTCTGAAATTGTACTGCAAGGTTCCATATCACAAAAGGAATGCTGGGATTGATTTTGGGGGTAATTGCCTCAAAATTTTAGGAATTAGGGGCCAAAAAAGGGGCAAAAAACAAGCATTTTTCTAGTTTCATGACATTAACTTGTGTGTAAGTGTATGGATCTTTCTGAAATTGTACTACAAGGTTCCATATCACAAAGGGAAAGCTGGGTTTGAGTTTGGGGGTAATTGCCCTAAACGTTCAGGAATTTGGGGCCAAAAAGGGGCCAAAAAACACATTTTTCTAGTTTCCAGACAATAAATTGTGTTCAAGTGTATGGATCTCTCTGAAATTGTACTGCAAGGTACCATACCACAAAGGGAAGGCTGGGATTGAGTTTGGGGGTGATGAATAATAAGGGGGTTCAAAAAATTTGGGGGGGGGGGATTTTTTTTTTTCTTTTTTTCCGTTTTTAGCTCACCTGGCCCGAAGGGCCAAGTGAGCTTTTCTCATCACTTGGCGTCCGTCGTCCGTCGTCGTCGTCGTTAACTTATTACATTTTGAACTTCTTCTAGAGAACCACTGAATGGAATGAAACCAAACATGGCATGAATGTTCCTTATGAGGTGCTGACCAAGTGTTGTTACTTTGAAGCCGATCCATCATCCAAGATGGCCGCCAGCCGGGGACTTAGTTTAACATAGGACCCTATGGGAAATACATACAAATGTCTTCTTTTAGAGAACCACTGAATGGAATGAAACCAAACATGGCATGAATGTTCCTTATGAGGTGCTGACCAAGTGTTGTTACTTTGAAGCCGATCCATCATCCCAAGATGGCCGCCAGTGGGGGACTAAGTTTAACATAGGACCTATGGGAAATACATACAAATGTCTTCTTTAAGAGAACCACTGAATGGAATGAAACAAAACATGGCATGCATGTTTCTTATGAGGTGCTGACCAAGTGTTGTTACTTTGAAGCCGATCCATAATCCAAGATGGCCGCCTTGGGGGGACTTAGTTTAACATAGGACCCTATGGGAAATATTTACAAATGTCTTCTTTTAGAGAACCACTGAATGGAATGAAACCAAACATGGCATGAATGTTCCTTATGAGGTGCTGACCAAGTGTTGTTACTTTGAAGCTGATCCATCATCCAAGATGGCCACCAGCTGGGGACAGTGTTTAAAAAAGGACCCAATGGACAATACATACAAATGTCTTCTTTTCGAGAACCACTGAATGGATTGAAACCAAACATGGCATGAATGTTCCTTATGAGGTGCTGTTGTTACTTTGAAGCTGATCCATCATCCAAGATGGCCGCCAGTGGGGGACTTAGTTTAACATAGGACCCTATGGGAAATACATACAAATGTCTTCTTTAAGAGAACCACTGAATGGAATGAAACCAAACATGGCATAAATGTTTCTTATGAGGTGCTGATGAAGTGTTGCTACTTTGTTGCTGATTTACTGTTCAAGATGGCCACCAGGATTTTTTATTAAATTACAGGGCCAATATTAAACCAAATTTGGCCTCACTCATTATTAGGGTATCTGTTATGATTTTAATCTATTTTAACATGATTTCCAAAACCAAAGAAGAATCAGGTGAGCGACACAGGCTCTTGAGAGCCTCTAGTTTTTTCTTTTAAAATTTTCCATTTTAAGTTGGTTATTTCTGATTTATATTTAAAAGCAAATAATAATGATATGGTAGGAGATACACACCAAACAGGATGTGTAAATTATTAAATAATAAGTATTGTGCAATAGCAAGAAATTTTCAATTGCACAGTATTGCACAATAGCAAGAAATCTTCAATTGCACAGTATTGCGCAATAGCAAGAAATCTTCAATTGCACAGTATTGCGCAATAGCAAGAAATATCCAATAGCACAATATTGCGCAATAGCAAGAAATTGTCAATTGTACAGTATTGCGCAATAGCAAGAAATATTTAATTGCACAGTATTGTGTAAAAGAAGATACTTCGTATAAATTGCTTATTTCTTGATCAATTTCAATGGGGTTTTATTCTTGAATTCTTGGGGTTCTTTAATATGCTGAATCTAACCGTGTATTTAGTTTTTGGATTTTGGGCCCCGTTTTTAAATTGGTCCACATTGAGGTCCAAAGGGTCCAAAATTAAACTTTGTTTGATTTCATCAAAAATTGAATTATTGGGGTTCTTTGATATGCCGAATCTAACCGTGTATTTAGATTCTTAATTTTTGGTTCGGTTTTCAAATTGGTCTACATTAAGGTCCAAAGGGTCCAAAATTAAACTTAGTTTGATTTTAACAAAAATTGAATTCTTAGGGTTCTTTGATATGCTGAATCTAAACATGTATTTAGATTTTTGATTATGGGCCCAGTTTTCAAGTTGGTCCAAATCGGGGTCCAAAATTAAACTTTGTTTGATTTCAACAAAAATTGAATATATGGGGTTGTTTGATATGCTGAATCTAACCATGTATTTAGATTTTTTATTTTTGGTCCCCGTTATCAACTTTGTCCACATTGAGGTCAAAAGGATCCAAAATTAAACTTTGTTTGATTTCATCAAAAATTGAATTCTTGGGGTTCTTTGATATGCTGAATCTAACCATGTATTTAGATTTTGGATATTGGACCATAATAGGTGAATGTCCAATTTAAAATTTTTAAGTTCTTAGACCACATTCATTCTGTGTCAGAAACCTATGCTGTGTCAAATATTTAATCACAATCCAAATGCAAAGCTGTATCAAGCTTGAATGTTGTGTCCATACTTGCCCCAACTGTTCAGGGTTCGACCTCTGCGGTCGTATCAAGCTGCGCCCTGCGGAGCATTTTATTTTATAAAATTTTATTACAATCTGAGTGTACAAATTTTTTAAAAATGTCTGATGTTGGAAGTTTGACTTTGGAAAAAGACATATGACATCATACTGGTATGTCCAAAAGACTAGATCAACGATTCACAATTTTTTTTATTTAACCCAATGAGAGTGTTAATCATAAGAGTAATAGGTTTAACTTGTGAGAATTGGATATCGCTTGATATCAACTCTCGATTTTTAATTTAAATAGTAATAATAAAAATCGTGGAAGGCTCCTTTATTATTGTATTGAAATTAAATAACTGGAGTTGATATCAAATGATAACCAATTCTCACTTGTTATGAAACCTATAAATAATGGGGTGCTAAGATATAATGATTAGACAAAAATGGCCTAAGAATTTATGAAAACAAAAATGAAGGAACCCCCTCCCCTCATCCAAATCCTAATTTAGTGCTGTTCCATAAAATATACATGGAATTCAAGGAAGCTGTTCAAAATCTTATCTATGGATGTGTTTTTTATGCCCCCGCCATAGCGGAAGGGGCATTAAGTTTTATCCTTGTCCGTCCATACGTACATCCATCCGTACGTCCCAGAGTTGGTTTCCGTTCTCTAACTCAAGTTTGCCTCAACCATATTTTATGAAACTTATACACAATGCTTATTTTGTACAGTGAAAATGTTAGGGAAATTCAAAAATTGTCTCTATCAGAGGAAAGATGTTTTATAGAAATATTTTATTATGGTATGGACACATATTAAGGGCTTTTGCATTGAAATTTTGCACGTGTATGAAGTATACTTTGGAAATTTAGGGGAGAATCATTTGATTTTCAGTTGGAGGCAGGAGCATCTTTTAAGTAAGGAATATTCATTTATTTTTTCACCACTTGAAAGTACACAGCTGTTCTGCATTAAGTTGGGCAGATATTTGTGTGGGCTTTTCCATTTCAAAAGTAAATTGAAAAATAATTTAAACTTAGACAAAAGGGATAAAGTTGTATGTCTCTATTGTAAATAAAAGCTTAGAAAAGACTAAAAATAATGCTTAATTGTTTTGTAGGAGGCTGTACAAAGGTTGTTTAAACAACCAAAACCTCAGGAAGACGGATTCTCAAATTGGTGTGAGATAGCTCTCAAAAGATTGGATACTTCAGTAGATAGTAAGCTTTCAAAAATTGTAGAAATCGTCTATGTAAAAATTTTAAGATCAGAAATAATGATCTTAACAAATAACTGATAAATTTCAAATTGAAAAAAGAAACAAAAATTTAAGATGAATATCTACCATGTAGTAACTTTTATTTTTAATGAGATTGCTATTGGGATATGCAATGTTGTAAAAAATAACAGATCCATATACCTTTGACCATTGGGAAAGGAATGAAAAATCTAAAGGTCAATAAAACTTCTACAACCATTTATATTTGCTCATGTCAAAGGCCAAAAAAAAAGAGAAAGAAATGAGTGGAAATTCTGATAAAAATAAAATAGAGAGAACATTAAAAAGGAAGGCAGTAGTCATAGGAATGTAAAACTTGCAGGGACAGGCACATTTGGAAAGTGATGTTAAAATCATGACAAAAATTTTAAATTAAAAAAATTGTTTACTTTTAGCATAACAGTTTCTATACAGAAAAAAATGTTTGCTATTAAAATGACAATATTTGTTATATTTGTTTTCCAGTTCCAACTTTTGTAGCATTTTTGTCAGAGGTGGAATCTCCTTATGAGGTAAGGATGACATTACACTCAGTTTATAATTAATATAGTTTCTAAATTTAACAACTTAAAGTTTCTAAAGTAAAATGCAGATGAAAGAATTTTCAACATGTAGTGATAGTAGGAAAATATCAGGATCAGCAAAAAATTTTCTTTTTTAAACAAATATCTTTATCTCAATTCTGTACAGAATAAGCCAGAAGTTTAATTTCTAAATAGATCTTTTGTCACATGGTAAGTGTTTGTAATTTCAGGTTCATGATTATGTACGATCATATCTTGGTGAAAGTAAATCTTCTAAGGACTTTGCTTGTAATTTCAGGTTCATGATTATGTACGATCATATCTCGGTGAAAGTAAATCTAAGGACTTTGCTTGTAATTTCAGGTTCATGATTATGTACGATCATATCTCGGTGAAAGTAAATCTTCTAAGGACTTTGCTTGTAATTTCAGGTTCATGATTATGTACGATCATATCTCGGTGAAAGTAAATCTTCTAAGGACTTTGCTTGTAATTTCAGGTTCATGATTATGTACGATCATATCTCGGTGAAAGTAAATCTTCTAAGGACTTTGCTTGTAATTTCAGGTTCATGATTATGTACGATCATATCTCGGTGAAAGTAAATCTTCTAAGGACTTTGCCAAACAGTTCCTGGAGAAGAGAAGCCAAACTCGTAATAAGGCAAAACCACCAGTTGTTGAGGTAAGGGTATAAAAATAAGAAGATGTGCTATGATTGCAAATGAGAGAACTGTCCAGACTAAGCGATGTAGAAGTTAGCAACTATGTGTCACCATACAGCCTTCAATAATGAGTAAAACCCATACCGCATAGCAAGCTATAAATGGCCCCCAAATAGCAAATGTAAAACATTGGAGAATATTAAAGGGCCTGTAAGAAATTAATGCACAAAACAATGAACGTAAAACAAATATGATATACAACAAACAACAACCACTGAATTATAGTTTGTTTAACTATCTGTTTAAATTCTAAAATATCTAACATGCCTCAAAGCCCAGTGTTCTCCATTTTTCACTAAGGTAAGGTGGGTGTTTTGAAAAAATCACTTGCAACCGGGTGTTTTTTTGTTTGTTTCAACATTTCCAACCAGGTTTTTATACGACCGCAAAAAAATTTTGAGGTCGTATATTGGTATGACGTTGGCGTCGTCGTCTTCGTCGTCGTCCGGCGTCGTCGTCCGAATACACAATGGTTTTCGCACTCTAACTTTAGTTTAAGTGAATGGATCTCTATGAAATTTTACCATAAGGTTCAATACCACAATAGGAAGGTGGGGATTGATTTTGGGGGTTATGGTACCAACAGTTAAGGAATTAGGGGCCAAAAATAAGCATTTTTGTAACTTCCAGACATAACTTGTGTGTTAGCATATGGATCTCTTTGACATTGTACCACAAGATTCCATATCACAAAGGGTCAATGCTGGGATTGATTTTGGGGTTAATTGCCTCAAAATTTTAGGAATAAGGGGCCAAAAGGGGGCAAAAAACAAGCATTTTTCTAGTTTCATGACAATAACTTGTGTGTAAGTGTATGGATCTTTCTGAAATTTTACTACAAGGTTCCATTTCACAAAGGGAAAGCTGGAATTGAGTGTTGTGGTAATTGCCCAAAACGTTTAGTAATAAGGGGCCTAAAAAGGGGTTTAAAATAAGCATTTTTTAGTTTCTAGACAATAACTTGTGTTCAAGTGTATGGATCTCTCTAAAATTGTATTACAAGGTACCATACCACAAAGGCAAGGCTGTTATTGAGCTTGGTTTGGGGGGAAAGGGGGGTGGGGGTGATGAATCATAAGGGGGCAGGGGTCAAAAAAGGGGTAATTTTTTTTTTCCTTTTTTTTTTGTTTAAAATTTACATTTTAAGTTAGTTATTTTTTATCACGAAGAGAAAGTAGGAATTGAGTTTTGGGGTTAATTGCTCAAACATTTATGAATAAGGGGCCAAATATTGGTCAAAAATAAGGATTTTTTTAGTTTGCAACAAAAACTTGTGTTCAAGTGTATGGATCTCTGTGAAATTGTATTGCAATGTACCATACCACAAATTGAAGGTTGTGATTGAGGTGGGGGATGATGAATCAAAAGGGGGTTGAAAAAATGTGTGGGAGGTAGGATTTTTTTTTTCCTTTTTTTTTCTTTAAAATTTTCCATTTAAAGATGGTTGTTTCAGATTTATATATGAAAGAAAATAATAATGATACGGTTATATATCATGAGGAATTGAAATTTAAAATTATGTATATTGGAAATTTAGGTTACATTGGAAAGTAATAATTGGCTTTGGGGGGGGGGGGGGGGGGGGGGGTTATGGCTCTAATGTTTAAGGAATAAGGGGAAAAAAGGTTAAAAAACAAGGGTTTCCATTTTAATAGACAAATAATTGAGTAAAGAACATTATTTAAAAGCAGTGTAAGGTTGGTAATTCAAACTCATTTAAATATCTCATCTACACTGCTTTTAAATTATGTAAATTGGAAATTTGCCAATAACTTTATTGTTAATAAATGCATTGGAAATTTGCCAACAATTTTAGTGTAATAAACTTCATTGGAAATTTGCCAATATAAAATTTTGCTGATGAAGGTTTTTTGTTTACCTTTAGCCTTGACTATGAAGTCATTTTCTATTTTTATAGCCTTATGATGTAGTTGAATTATTTAATACTTTTATGATGTGTTTAAATGGGGTTTTATCATGTTTATGGTTGCAAATTTATTGTTTTAGTATAATAAACTCCATTTAAAATTTGCCAATAAAAAAAATTTTTGTTTATTTTTAGCTATGATTATGATGTCATTTTCTATATTACTTTTATGGTTGCAAAGAAATTTTTATTTTTAGATATTACTGTTAAATGATGCTGATTAAGGTTTTTGCTATGTTTAGCCATGACTATGATGTCATTTTCTATTTTAATATCTGTTATGATGTATTTAAATGGGCTTTTATGGTTACAAAGGAATTTTATTTTTAGATATTACTATAAAATGTTGCTGATGCTGATTAAGGATTTTGTTTATTTTTAGCCATGACTATGATGTCATTTTCTATTTTAATACCTTTATGATGTAATTTCCATTCTTAGATATTACTGTTAAATGATGCTGATTAAGGGTTTTTTGCTATGTTTAGCCATGACTATGATGTCATTTTCTATTTTAATATCTTTATGATGTATTTAAATGGGCTTTTATGGTTACAAAGGAATTTTATTTTTAGATATTACTTTAAATGTTGCTGATTAAGGATTTTTGTTTATTTTTAGCCATGACTATGATGTCACTTTCTATTTTAATACCTTTATGATGTATTTAAATGGGCTCCCATGTATTTAGATTTTTGATTATTTATACATGTTACCAAATTGGTCCACATTGAACAAAAACGGTCCAAATTTCAACTTTATTACATTACATCAAACATTGAATTCTACATATTCTTTGATATATTGAAATTAACAAACAATTTAGTTTATGGATATTCCACCATAATAGGTAAATTAAATTTTTTCCAGTTCTTACACCACATTCATCCTGTGTCAGAAACCTATGCTGTGTCAAATATTTAATGACAATCCAAAGTCATAGCTGTATCAAGCTTGAATTTTGTGTCCATACTTGCCCCAACTGTTCAGGGTTTCGACCTCTGCGGTCGTATCAAGCTGCGCCCCAGCGAAGCATTTTATTTTACTGTTGGAGGGGGTCACAAAAAGAAGGATTAGTATTGTATTCACATTTAATAAAATTGAACTGTTCTTCTGCTATCACTGCTAGCCATTCATTTTACAAATTAGTTTTGCGGGTCTCGGATAGCAGATATGGCTTTTTTTAGGACTCCCTCCTCCTGCATATGCATAGCTTATCGATCCAAGTTTCTGTCCTGTTCCTCGCTTTAGTGCTGTAGTTATGGAACACAGAGCAGTAATATCCTCCTTCTGTGGCGATTAGCCATTTAAAGACATGTTCATATTTATTAAATGAGGGGTAACCTCTCAATGTAATGACTATCTCTTTTATGAGGGGTACATTTAACAAGATACAAATGAGCACATATTTATTTTATTTACAGAAAATTTTCCCAAAGAACTAAACATCTATTTGGTATTATATGGTCAAAACATGTCCAAGAATTTTGTAATATTTCTGGACTTATATCTTCTTTATTATTAAAAATAATGGGAGCTTCTTTTAGAAAAGTTGGTCCGAATATAACGAGTTTTTCCCCTTTTAAGTTAAAAAATCTTAAGTTTTTCTCTTTTCTTTTCTTCAACAGAATTTACATAACCTCTTGCCAAAGAGACAGTCCCTCATTTAAGGGATATCCCTCATTTGGGGGATTGTTCCTAACCTGTTTATCTTCGCGATCGCTTGTGTGCATTTTCCATTGATTTGATACTTTTTTTCCAATTTCAACAATTTCAATACAACTATCCATTTTAGTTGACTTATTTGGCCTATAATTTTCCTTATCACCATCGTCATCTGGCTTTCTCTCTCTCCCCCCCCCCCCCCCGATTAATAAAAGAAAACATTGAAATTTGACGATCCGCCATTTTTGTCGATGAAAACATCAGTGAGGCTTGATTAGTATTTAAATTTTTACGGTGCGGAACCGAAAAAAATCCGGAATTTGAAAAAAAAAGCCGACCACCTTCTAAAATGGAAAGGGGGTCGGCTTTCAAAAGAAGGTGGTCGGCACACCGGCCTTAAATGCCGAATGGAAAACACTGAAGCCTTTAACTCATGCTTAGATATTTCTTCATGTTTGAGAGGGAAGTAGCAATAAACAAAAAACACAGTAATTTTAAGATTTAAAACATTTTGTAGGAGAGCATATGGGGACCTGCACCAGCCCGTGATTACCGACAACAAACCAACCAAAGTTCAGATGCTGACTCACAGAAGAATAAGGGAGGAAAGAAAAAGAAGAAAATGATGAAATTAGACAGTAGTATTTTGGGATTCACTGTTAGCGCTGATCCTGAACGTAAGAACGTAGGAGAGATGGAAGACGATGGGAAATGACAGTCTATAGATTTTAATGTCAGCAGTGTTATTTTATCAACTTAAGACAATGTTTTTTGTAATTGTTGATATTTTGTTATGGTTGGTCTTAATTGTTGGGTTTTGGTCGCATTACACAGTTTCCAATAGCTTCAACACACCTGTGTGGGCGTGGCTTTGTATCCAGCCCCTCCTGTAGATGTGAGGCGTGCCGGCCCATTTGGCCTATGTTAGAGTATATTTTTAAAGAAGATGATGAAAAAGTGAAGGAAATGATTTTTCAAAAATCAGATCTCTAATTATGAAGTTTTTGAAAAAGAATGAGAAAAACTTAATCATAGTGCTTAATAAACAATGCTTTTGGTGGCAGTCCTTGGTTAAGGGAAATAACTCTTTAAATCATAAATACGTTTGTAAAAGTCAGTTTTATCAGTGCTTTATAAGCATTCATGTGATAAAAAATTAAAATGATTTTTGTCATTTGGAAGCTTAAAATTTATTTATGAAAATGGTTGACACAAGCGTAACATTGATTTTTAAAGAGTAATTTCCCTTAACTTAGATCAACCACCTAAATATCGTATGCAGTATTACATGACAAAACAAATTGAATATTTTAACAACACAGTGTTTTTTAATCATGTCAACTGATTTCAGCTTTTTTATTCAAACATGTTTTACAATTTAATGAAAAGAAGTTTTTCATTTGAAAGTATTAAGAATTACAACTTTTTTTATTCAAACATGTTATACAATATAAATAGAAGAAGAATTTCATTAAATAAAATTAAGAATTTCAACCTTTTTTATTCAAACATGTTTTACTGTTTAAAGAGAAGAATAAGTAAATCAATAACACTTAGAATTTGACATAAATGCATTTTACCAAAAACTAAACAATCAACCGAAAGAATTGAAATGATTCTAAACAAACTATATATGCAAAATGCACAATATTGTTATTAATTTTTTATCTAATTATCTTACAATTATTGTGGTCTCAGTAAAACAATTTTAAGGAATCAAAAATGTTCTTTTATTCTGTTTAATATTTCAATATAGTTTGGTTCCTAGTAATTCTTAATGATTATATGAATTTTTCATGGTAGAATTTTATGCAAACTTCTGAATTATGGAAAACACAAATTACTTACAAAACAACATTGTTCCTATTTAGATTTCAACATTTGCATAATACTATCAAAATTGCACACAGGCAAGACATATATCTGTGTCAACAGTTTTATTTTATAACACTATAATTTTTATGAAACTGATATACATAAAGCAAAGAAAACATGTCACATATTTCTAAAATCAAACATGTGTTATAGCAGAATATAAGTTGTGTTATTAATTAGTCTGTTTTTTTTTATTTCTAGATTAAATATCCAGATAAGAAATTTAACAATTTTTACCTAAGAAATACAAAACAATACTTCAGAAATCAAACAGTGACTACTTTTAATATTTTTTTTTTTTTTTTTTAACTTTCAGGCAACATTTTATTCAGAAAGAATAAATTATTAAAGATGACAGCTTTCTTTTGATACAAATTATTTACAGTTTTAAGCGATTTTCAAATTCATGAAAGAACACAATTTTTAAGAAAGAATGGTAGTAATTGACAGTAATCCTCATATATTTTGTTATTTTTGCTGTTTTTAAAAAAAATATAAGCTTTAGAATTGAAATATCATCTTATTCTGTTAGATACTAGAAATTTCAAGCAGAAGGGAAGCTCCATGCATAAAGTTTTGAATATTGATAAGATGGATGGGTTCTTATTTTAAAATTATAGACACTCAAGCTTGTGTTTATTTTGTCATTTACAAATGCACACCACAGCCTAGAATTTTTATAGGCCCATTAAAGGTATTACGTTGTCTGTCCATCTGTCATCAACATGTCGGACAACTCAAAAATGCTTTAACCAATTTTCATAAAACTTTGGTGAATTGTTTGTATTTATTGATGTATGCTCCCTTTCAGTTTTTATAAATTTTAGATTTTACGTTTCTGAGTTATGGGATTTTATTCATAAAAAATTGGAGATGTACAGTTTTCTGTTTTCTGACTAAAACTGAAAAATGCTTTGAACAATTTTCATGAAACTTTGGTGAATTGTTTATAAATATTAGAATTAGCTCCCCTTAGTTTTTTATAAATTTCTGATATGACATTTAGTGTCATGGAGTTATGAAACTTTATTCGTTGAAAAAGCAACGGGTGTATCATGTGCTCATGGTGCAGCTCTTTATGTAAGAGTGATCTAAACTAATGAATGGGACCTCTATGCACAAACCCTCTCGCGGAAAAACTACAGAACCCATGCCTTCCAAAACTAAATTTACATTAAAATTTTAATACACATTACTTTTAAAAGCTTACTTAATTTAACCACGGTAAAAGTATGAATGAAGAAAAAGGTAAACAGTCATGACAAAGCATTTCTTAGTATCCATTAGGAATTGTTGCATTTTGTTTTACGATCTTGCTAGTTCAGAACAGTCATTTTTATTTCTGAATTATCTTATCTTAAAAAGGTGAGTCTAGAACATTGTTTTAAACTTAAAACATTTTTTGGCAGCATGGTTTGCCTTATTAGATATTTTAATTATGGTATGCCATGATTCGTCTCTCCATTTGTCTTACTCATATCAGGGACTTTTTAGGGATGTTATTGATTTGAATTTTAAGTTATCTTCCTGCTTGGAAAAAAGAAAACTGTTGGAAAATGGCACTTCTAAAAGGGCATTTTTAGATACACAGTGATGATTTTCAGATATACCTCAGCCAACTAGTTTTTTTTGGGGGAGGAGGGGGTTATTAGAACTTCGGTACTAGTTTACACCAAATAAAGGAAGTTCTGGGCACATATTGGGTTTTTGTCAGCTTAGGAAAACAGGATTTTATGTACAAAAACAGATTTAAATATTAGTGTAGCCCAAGTTCTTACTACAGACCTTTGTACCTAAAAGGTATACTCTTGCCAAAACTAGGGATAGTCAGAAAAATCAACAACAAAATTTGTTTTTTTTCCTGAAGGGGACTTTACCCCTTTCTAGATGAGGGTGTGGAGTATGGGAGCTTCCTCTCCAAGTTTATTCCATTTTATTATAGTCTTCATTCTCACCAATTATTTGCACAAGATTATAAGTACTGAAAAAAATATTTTTTAAGATTTGCACGATGAGCCAGCTGATATTTTATTTATTGAAAATAGATAATTTTGTACTTCGAATTGAAATTGAAATTATTTTGAATATTGAGATCATTAACTCCCTTAGACACATTCTATGAAATAAAGGCAACATTTACTTTTTGACCTTATGTGTATGAGTATGTAGATAGAGAAATGTGCCAGACTAAATGGTCCTTATTCCCTGATTGGCCTTGTGTGTGTGTGTGTGTGTTATTGCCTGTTTGAGTTGATAGATGCATGAATATCATTAATCTTAATATTTTATTAGCAGTTTCCCTTATATTACAACTTTTTATAAAATGAATATCACTAATCTTAATATTTTATCAGCAGTTCCCCTTATATTACAACTTTTTATAAAATTTAACTCAAATTTTACAAAATATTAAACAATTAATAAAACTGCTATTCCATTAAAATGAATGTGGGAGGGTTGGAAGGTATTTCCAATACAACCCACCCCCAAAACCAATAAATTGAATAATTTTGCATACATTAATTTGACATACAACCATAATTTACCCACATGCCAAGTTCAAAAATAAAACTTCCCTTTCTTACCTCCCCCAATTCATTTTGCCTTTTTATACGACCGCAAAAAAATTTTTGTGGTCGTATATTGGTATGACGTTGGCGTCGTCGTCGTCGTCGTCGTCGTCCTGCGTCGTCCGAAGACACATTGGTTTTCGCACTCTAACTTTAGTTTAAGTGAATGGATCTCTATGAAATTTTACCACAAGGTTCAATACCACAAAAGGAAGGTTGGGATTGATTTTGGGGGTTATGGTACCAACAGTAAAGGAATTAGGGGCCAAAAAGGGGCCAAAAATAAGCATTTTTGTAACTTCCAGACATAACTTGTGTGTTAGTGTATGGATCTCTCTGACATTGTACCACAAGGTTCCATATCACAAAAGGAATGCTGGGATTGATTTTGGGGGTAATGGCCTCAAAATTTTAGGAATTAGGGGCCAAAAAAGGGGCAAAACACAAGCATTTTTCTAGTTTCATGACAATAACTTGTGTGTAAGTGTATGGATCTTTCTGAAATTGTACTACAAGGTTCCATATCATAAAGGGAAAGCTGGAAGTGAGTTTTGGGGTAATAGCCGAAATATTTAGGAATTGGGGGCCAAAAAGGGGCCAAAAATAAGCATTTTTCTAGTTTCCAGACAATAACTTGTGTTCAAGTGTATGGATCTCTCTGAAATTGTACTGCAAGGTACCATACCACAAAGGGAGGCTGGGATTGAGTTTGGGGGTGATGAATCATAAGGGGGTTCAAAAAATTTGGGGGGGGGATTTTTTTTTTTTTCATTTTTTTTCTTTTTTTCATTTTTTAAAATTTTTCTTTTAAAATTTTCCATTTTAAGTTGGTTATTTCTGATTTATATTTAAAAGCAAATAATAATGATATGGTAGGAGATACACACCAAACAGGATGTGTAAATTATTATATAATAAGTATTGTGCAATAGCAAGAAATTTTCAATTGCACAGTATTGCACAATAGCAAGAAATCTTCAATTGCACAGTATTGCGCAATAGCAAGAAATCTTCAATTGCACAGTATTGCGCAAAAGCAAGAAATATCCAATAGCACAATATTGCGCAATAGCAAGAAATTGTCAATTGTACAGTATTGCGCAATAGCAAGAAATATTTAATTGCACAGTATTGTGCAAAAGAAGATACTTTGTATAAATTGCTTATTTCTTGACCAATTTCAATGGGGTTTTATTCTTGAATTCTTGGGGTTCTTTAATATGCTGAATCTAACCGTGTATTTAGTTTTTGGATTTTGGGCCCCGTTTTTAAATTGGTCCACATTGAGGTCCAAAGGGTCCAAAATTAAACTTTGTTTGATTTCATCAAAAATTGAATTATTGGGGTTCTTTGATATGCCGAATCTAACCGTGTATTTAGATTCTTAAATTTTGGTTCCGTTTTCAAATTGGTCTACATTAAGGTCCAAAGGGTCCAAAATTAAACTTAGTTTGATTTTAACAAAAATTGAATTCTTAGGGTTCTTTGATATGCTGAATCTAAACATGTATTTAGATTTTTGATTATGGGCCCAGTTTTCAAGTTGGTCCAAATCGGGGTCCAAAATTAAATTTGTTTGATTTCAACAAAAATTGAATATATGGGGTTCTTTGATATGCTGAATCTAACCATGTATTTAGATTTTTGATTTTTGGGTCCCGTTATCAATTTTGTCCACATTGAGGTCAAAAGGGTCCAAAATTAAACTTTGTTTGATTTCATCAAAAATTGAATTATTGGGGTTCTTTGATATGCCGAATCTAACCGTGTATTTAGATTCTTAATTTTTGGTTCGGTTTTCAAATTGGTCTACATTAAGGTCCAAAGGGTCCAAAATTAAACTTAGTTTGATTTTAACAAAAATTGAATTCTTAGGGTTCTTTGATATGCTGAATCTAAACATGTATTTAGATTTTTGATTATGGGCCCAGTTTTCAAGTTGGTCCAAATCGGGGTCCAAAATTAAACTTTGTTTGATTTCAACAAAAATCGAATATATGGGGTTCTTTGATATGCTGAATCTAACCATGTATTTAGATTTTTGATTTTTGGGCCCCGTTATCAACTTTGTCCACATTGAGGTCAAAAGGGTCCAAAATTAAACTTTGTTTGATTTCATCAAAAATTGAATTCTTGGGGTTCTTTGATATGCTGAATCTAACCATGTATTTAGATTTTGGATATTGGACCATAATAGGTGAATGTCCAATTTAAAATTTTTAAGTTCTTAGACCACATTCATTCTTTGTCAGAAACCTATGCTGTGTCAAATATTTAATCACAATCCAAATGCAAAGCTGTATCAAGCTTGAATGTTGTGTCCATACTTGCCCCAACTGTTCAGGGTTCGACCTCTGCGGTCGTATCAAGCTGCGCCCTGCGGAGCATTTTATTATTGTGTATTTTCTTTTACATGCATATTCATTGAAAGATTTAACACTGAGTCAAGTTTCCATATTAGAAAATTAACTAAAAATAAATAAATAGTATCGAAGATAACTTTATAAGAGATTTCACCATTTTGAAGAAATCTGTATGTTTAACTTAAAGTTAATTTTAACATGTTTTAAAAGGATGTAAGTGTGCTGTAAAAATTAATTTGTTTTCATTCTGTTAACATTCAGTGTGTCTGTGTTTTGTAAATGGTGTGTGAAAATGCTGTTTGAATTTGGTATGTGAAGAGAAATTTGTATGTGAAATGTATGTTGTATGGGAAGGAGAGTATGTGAATGGTATGTGGAATATAGATTGCATGTGTTAAGTAAAATGTGTATGTGGGTGTGATGTGAATTGCAGATTGTATGTGTTGTGTGAAGTGCAGATTGTATGTGTTATGTGAAGTGCAGATTGTATGTGTTGTGTGGAGTGCAAGATAAGGTCAACCAAAGTAATTCTCTTATAGGTAAAGTTGATCAGGGAAAATTGATTAAATCATGTTCCAAACTTTCTTTTGCTGCTAAAAATTTTTAACTTAATGTGGCCTTGTTCCATTTGTTGCCAATGTTTGTTATATATACACAACATAAATTAGCAATGCATGAACAATCACTTTTGAATTAAACAGATTTTTTTTTTATCCCTTGAAAAGCTTCTGGGATACATGTGTTACTGAACTTTAAAATCAGATGTTTCATGGAAAGTCTCAAATTTTTAATATTTTTAGCATGTTTAAAAGTAATACAAAATCAAAAATTGCAATGGAACCTTGTATATTTTGATCAGATGAGCTTGGATAATTTTTATCATGATAAGAAATTATTTTTATGAATTTAAAAGAAGAATGTTACTGGTCTTATTTTAAACTGATTTGAATATGAAATTTTAAGAACTTATAAGGAAGGCACTGTTATCAAGGTTTCAAAGGAAAATTGAAAATGAGATGTATATCTCATATTGTTAATGAATACAAGACGTTTCTTTAAAGTATAAAATATGTTAAATTGTGATATAAATATGCAGGCTTTTGTGTACACAAATGACTTGTCTGTATTGATAAAGCTGAAAATTGTTGAAAATAAATAAAAGAAATACCTAAAAGTTTTTACTTGTTTCTTTATATCCCAGTTCCAGAGCACCTGAGATCACCCCCAGTTTTTGATGGGGTTCGTTTTGCTCAGTCTTTAGTTTTCTATGTTGTGTTGTGCATACTGTTCTCTATCTTTTGGTCTTTTTTTCGTTTTTTTTTACATGGCATTGTTAGTTTATTTTCGACTTATGAGTTTGAATGTCCCTTTGGTATCTTTCGCCTCTCTTTTCCAAAGAAACAAAGTAGAAAATTTTGAACATCTCGGAATAGAAATTTCCATGTTTAAAATGAAACTACACAAAACAGGCACATGTGACAATGATCACATGATTTATAGTGGTATGAACTCGACTAAAAACAAGGAGGGTGAAGGGGCAAAAAAGTTCATGTGATATGAAGAGAAATTTCAGTCGGCAGTGGTCAAAACAAACATGTGACAATGACCTCAATAGATTTATTGGAACAAATATAGCAACTTTCAAATGGTCAATATAAAACAACAATACAGGCTTTACAGCCGATTTCAATGAGTGTGTAGGCAAAGGTAATATCTTTGGTTAGCTTGCTTACTAGCTGAACCGTGAAATCATTGTTAGGTTAGGTTAAACAATCCTCCTTTAAGAGTAGGCTAGTCCGACAGATAACCAATCTATCTGTCTATAGGACTAGGCTACTTCGAACGGAGGGTAGTATACCTTACCTAACAATGACTTCACGGTTCAGCTAGCAAGCAAGCTAACCAAAGATATTACCT